TAGCCTTGAGCTGAAGAGCTGAGGGACAGCACCCAGGCCCAGAGTTCAGGCCCCACGACCGGACCCAAAAAAAAAAAAAAAAGTTTCAAACAAGTTTCACTGTTGCATTTCATACATGTGCATTATTTCAAACACATTCACCCTTAATCTTTTTTTTTTGTCGGTCATGGGGTTTGAACTCAGGGCCCAGAAGCTGTTCCTGGGCTCTTTCGTGAAAGACTAGTGCTCTACCACTTTGAGCTGCAGTTCCACTTCCAGTTTTCTGGTGGTTAATTAGAGGATACTTTCATGAGCTGGGTGCGGGTAGCTCATGCCTGTCATCCTAGCTACTCAGGAGGCTGAGATCTGAGGATCATGGTTCAAAGCCAGCCTGGACAGGAAAGTCTGTGAGACTCATCTCCAATGAACCACCAGAAAACTGGAAGTGGTGCTGTGGCTCAAGTGGTAGAGCGCTTGCCTTGAGCTGAAGAGCTGAGGGACAGCGCCCAGGCCCAGAGTTCAAGCCTCAAGACTGACCCAAACTCCCCCCCCCAAAAAAAACCTGGGAGTACTGCTATGGTTCAAGTGGTAGGGTACTATCTTTGAGCACAAAGAACTCAGGGTAGCACCCAGGCCCAGAATTCCTGGGCAAAAAGACTTTTCTGCCCAGCCTGGCTTTAAACCGCAATCCTCAGATGTCAGCCTCTTGAGAAGCTAGGCTTACCATGGTAAGGCATCAGCACCCGGCTTCCCCCTCTCGTATCACCCACTGCTACTGGTATCTACTCCACAACAGAGTCTGTTTTACTTGGCTGTGATTCCTTTACTTTCCATATATATTAATACAAAGGATTTGTACTGCTGTAATTCTAGATGAGCATATATTATGACTGATATTGTTTTTTTTTTTTTGCAGTACTAGGGTTTGAATGCAGAGCCACCTGTGTGCTTATCTTACTCGACCAGCACTCTACTACCTGAGCCACACCTCCAGCCCCACTTTTTGCTGGTTGCTTTGGACTTTCCTGCCAGGTTGGCTTTGAGCTGTGAACCTCCAGATCTCAACCTCTTCAGGAACTAGAATGATAATTGTGAGTCATGTCCACCTGGCGCGATGCTATTTTTCAAGAGAGAATGGTGTGCTCAGAATGGCTAATTCCTGGCCAATTGTGTAGCTAGAACTCAGACCTAGACCAATTTTAAAGCCAGCTCCATTTGATAACTGGGCTCACAGCCTGACATGTGGGATACACTTGAGCACTTGGAAATTCTGAATCAGTTTGCTGTTTATTTGGGATAAATTGAGAGTCCACCTGAAGATCAGATGTCTTTTTTTTGTTGTTGTTATTGTTCGTGGGGACTGAACTCTGGACCTGGGTGCTATCCCTCCTCAGCTCTTCAGCTCAAGGCTAGTGCTCTACCACTTGAGCCACCTCTGGCTTTTTCTGCTTATGTGGTGCTGAGTAATCGAAACTAGGGCCTCATGCATGCAAGGCAAGCGCTCTACCACTGAGCCACCTTCCCAGACCTTACCTTTTTTTTTTTTTGGTCAGTGTTGGGGCTTGAACTCAGGGCCTGGGAACTGTCCTTGAGCTCCTTTTTGTTCAAGGCTGGCATGCTACTACTTTAGCCACAGCGCCACTTCCAGCTTTTTCTGTTTATGTGGTACTAAGGAATGGAACCCAGGGCTTCAGTCATTCTAGGCAAGCACTCTACCACTAAGCCACATCCCCAGCCCCAAGAATTTTTTTTTTAATCTTTTTTAATTTTTGCTAGTCCTGGGGCTTAGGCTCTGTCCTTGAGCCTTCTGTGCTCAAGGCTAGTGCTCTATCACTTGAGCCACAGCACCACTCCCAGCCTTTTCTGTTTATGTGGTACTGAGGAATGGAACCCAGGGTGGGTTCATGCATGCAAGGCAAGCACTCTACCACTGAGCCATATTCTCAGCCTCGAGAGTTTTTTTTTTCTGGTCGTGGGGCTTGAACTCTGGGCCTGAGCACTGTCCCTCAGCTCTTCAGCTCAAGTCTAGCACTCTACCACTTGAGCCACAGCGCCACTTCTGGCTTTTTTCTTTCTGCTTATGTGGTGCTGAGAAATTGAACCTAGGGCCTCATACATGCAAGGCAAGCACTCTACCACTGAGCCACCTTCCCCCCCTGAGAATTTTTTTTTTTAAGACTCCATCTCGGGGCTGGGAAGGTGGCTCAGTGGTAGAGCGCTTGCCTTGCATGCCACGCTGTGGCTCAGGTGGTAGAGTGCTAGCCTTGAGCTGAAGAGCTGAGGGACAGCACCCAGGCCCAGAGTTCAGGCCCCACAACCGGACCAAAAAAAAAAAAGATTCCATCTCAACAGAAAGAAGCTGGGTGTGGTGGCTCATACCTGTTATCTCAGCAGCAACAGGAAACTTAAAATAGATGAATTTTAATCCAGGTGTGTACCTGGACAGGAGGCAAGAAAAGAGTTCAGAAAAGAGCTTGTTTGGCTCAGCTAAACAGTGCTGCCTAGCAAGTATGAGCACAATGATTCAAAGCCAAGTGTGGCTACTTCCTTCCCCTAGTTCCAGTTCTAATACCTCTAACACCTATGCAGTTCCTAACAGGGTGGACACAGATTTCAGCCTTTGAGGCTTCTTGTAGCAAGCCGGACTTTAGGACCATCTTTAGTGCTTTTCAAGAAGGGTCACCCTTCTGCCCCTCAGGTCTCATGTGTGACACAACTGTGACATCATATGGTGGAGAAAACAAAAGCCAAAGGCTGGGTGAAGACCAAAGATCCCACACCCCTGGAGCAGGCTGCGGAAGGAAGTGCCTCCCTGCCATGGTTAATTTTAGGTTTAAAGTGACTGAGCTAAAGAGAGGCACAGAGCACTCATAGATGTTATTTCTGGAAGTGTCTGTGAGGGTGTTTCTGGAGAAGATAAGCTTTGAGCACTAACTCAGGGAAGTGCGTCATGTAACCCACCAGGAGCCTAAATTGAACATGAAGGTGTAGAAAGGGCACAATTCCTCTTTCTGCATGAGTTTTTCAGTCACCTTCCCTGGGCCATGGACACTCCTGGCTTTGGCCTCAAGAGGACTTGCACTGAAGCACTGGCCTGATTCTTTGGACTTTGGGCTTATATGCAGGGCACATGGGCAGCAAAGATGGCGCTGAGAGAGATTAGAGTGGGCTGAACCCAATTTGCCCTAAATTCAGTGTGTAACCAGCCCTTGGAAGCTTAGGTGCATGTTAGGGTGTGACCTTGACAGTGATTGGTTCCTCTTCCTCCCCTGCCATGCCACCAGCTCCTTTTTGGCTTTAAAAAGGGCTTCTCTCTGTTAATAAACGAGTTTTCTTCCTGCTTGATTTGGCTCCCCGCTGTGTGTGATTGGCTGGGGAAGGGGGGGGGGGAGACCCCTGTCAGTCTTTAGTGGGAAGGACAAAGACAGGCTTAGACTTAATGGCACCCCTATGTTGCTGGGCTTTCTGAGACTGACAGTGATCATGTAGGTCACACCCTCATAATCAGTCACTTTCTACACATCTGTAAATATTCTACTGGCTTTCAGTTGTATCCAACTGTGTAACGGGAGAAAGCTAGGCCTACTTTATAATGAGAATTCCAAGATGGAAGGGGGCCGGTCAAAGCTGAGGGAGCAGAGTCAGGTAGACAGCAGCCAGTGAGCCTCCCCACTCTCCTACCCCCCATCGGGGGAAGAAGCAAGCACTCCTCCCTCGGCTAGGCACTGACCATGTGGCTTACCTTGACCAATGGCTAGTGGCAGGTGCGAGGCACCCAAGACTTACACTAGACTAACCCCGTTGACTCGGTCTCCCAGACTGGCCTTCTTTACGAAGGGGAAAACTGTTCTCAGCATATTTCCCACTGCACTTCGAGCTGTGACGGGACCGAGGCCGTGTCCTACCGCACGCACCACGCGCAACAAGTACATGAGAAAGACCAGAGGAGACGTGGCTGAAGTCACGCGACTCACAGGAGGTGGCAGGGAAAGCCACTGAGGAGTTAACGGGACAGGTGCCCACCGCACACTCACGCGGGACGGATGTGCACCCAGGCGCCCGCTCCGCGCCCTCACAGCACGACCAGCAAACCCCAACGACCTGCGCAAACGCGGCTCAAGGAGACGCCGCGGGGATGGACAGCTCTCCCATGCACGCTCTCATCTAGCCCTGGGGAAGCTGGGGAAACTGAGGCTTGGGGCCAGAGGGGACGTGGAGGCGCCCCGCCCCCTCGTTATGTACCCAGCTGGGCTTTGCGCGGCTGCCCGTCCACAGCTAAGAATAGGGCCCGAGCACCGGACGCGAGCGGGGATCCGGGCCGCGCGGAGGCGTGGAGACGCGGCCACGGGCTCGGGGAGGGACCAGGCCAGAGCCGCAGGAGCGGCTGGGCTGGAGGACACGGAATGGCAGCAAGGAGCGGGAAATCCCGGAGCAGGACATTCACCGGTCTAGGGAAGGGAGTCCCGGAGACGCCCGCGGCGAGCCTCGGCGGCGCCTGCGCAGTGGACCGTTCAGGTTTCTACGGGGAGAGTCGGTTGGCGCCAACTGGCGCAGGCGCTCGGGCGGCGGCGGAATTCCGGAGTGGGCGGTAGCCGGCGTCCGGGCCTCGCGCGCATGCGCCCACCGGGAAGGCAGCGGGAGGGCGGGACCTCTTGCGTCCTCCCGCGCTCGGGGCATTGTGGGACGGTGGAGGTGCGTGCCGGTCGTCGGAGGCCCTGAGGAGGACTGCGGGGCCGAGAGGCCTGGCCCTTCGGCGGAGCTGCGGCTGAGGGAACGGCCTTTGACCACCGCACAGCCCCCACGGCCCGGCTTGCCCGCCCGCTCGGACTTCTGAGGTCCGAGGCGACTCCCCCCTCGCCCGCGTCCCGGAGGTGCCGGCCCGGGGCCTCGCGACGTCGCGCAGCGCCGCCGCCGGACGGGCGCGCCCGCCTCGCCGGCGCCCCCCGAGGGGCCCGCGCCGCCTCGCGACCCCCGCGCTCGGCGGAGCCCGGCCCGTGAGGCCCGGAACCTGCCCGTGACCCCGCCGCCGCCCCCGCCCCACACCCAAGGCCCCGCGACCGGGCCGGAGCTGCGGGCGGCGGGGCAGGGGTGGGCGCCCCGATGAGCCCCGAGTGCGAGGAGCCGCCGCCCCCCCTCGCAGGTGAGCGCGAACCTCGACCTGCCCGCGCCGCGCCTTCACCCCCCTCCCCCGGGGTCCCTTCACCATCCCGGGGTCCCCCCTTCCCGTCCCAGGTCCCTCCACCCCCGTCCCGCGGTCCCCCCTCCCCGTTCCGCGGTCCCCCTTTTCCGTCCCGGGGTCCCCATCCCCATCCTGGTCCTCCCCGTCCCGCGGTCCCCCTTCGTCCCGACGGCTTCTCCGCTGTACCCCCGTCCCCCGCGTCACCCAGTCATCTCCACCGGGTCTCCGTGTCCCGACCTCTCATTCCTGTACCGTCTCTCAGTCTATCCCAAATATCTCGACCCGTGGTCCCCCCAAGGCTGAGGCTCGCCCCAGTTCCCGTCCTGTGGTTCCCCAAGTTTCTTTTCCTGCCCCCCCCCCCCACCTTCCGTCTTGTGCTGGGACTCTCTTTAACTCCACCCCTCCCCCACGATTGGGCCCAGTCCTCCATCTCCCCAGTCTTCCTTTTGGGTGCCTTCAGCTTTTCTCCCCTAGACCCCGTCTCTCTGCCCTCCTCTCCCAAACCTTCTTGGGTGCCTTGGTCTCTCTGATCTCATCCTCAGGCTCAGGATCGCTGGAGAGTGGATTTTCCCTGTGTCTGGGAGTCGGTGTGCTCCCCGACCTGGCTCTGGAGGCCTGGTGAGGGCCTGGTGGGGAACACGGGGCAGAGCCCCCGGGGCAGACAAAGGCTCAGCTGGACAGTCACAATCGCCGTTGTGATGGGCAACCAGGGTGCCACCGCTGCAGGCCACGGGCAGTGGGAGAGACTGGCTGGCCGGATGGGTGGCTTTTTCTGTGTGGAAAGGCTGAGTAGGAGTTAGCAGATGGAGAGTGGGAAGAAGAGCTTTCCATGTGGAAGAACCAACATGTGCAAATATATGAAGGTGGGAAGGAACCGTAGTGGAGCCATGAGTGGGCTGTGTGGATGTGTTCAGAGGGCCAGGGGCAGAGTGGCTCTGCCTGTGGGCTTATCCAGGGCCTGGGTTTTGTAGCTCCCCCCCCCCCCCCCCCCCACCTGTACTGACCATTCAGGCCTTCTTTGTGTCAGGATGCACACACACACCCTCTACCTGTACTGACCATTCAGGCCTTCTTTGTGTCAGGATGCTTTTCTAAGGAAGCTGCTTTGTTTTGTCAGATGTGCTGGGTTCAAACCTGGTAAAACAATTGTCTTTACCCATACGATCGATTCCTCGCTGAGAGGTTGAGGAGGGTATAACCCTGAGCACCGAGGCACATGTTTGCATGGACTCAAGATTGAAGGTTGTGTGTGTGTGTGGGGGGCTTGTATACACATCCCTGGTAGTGACAGCACACAAGGATGTGCTCTGTGTGTCACCTTGCTGTGTACACTTTCTTGTGGTGGAAAGGCATTTGGAGTTGGCTCCTTCTGTTTAAAATGCTGTGCTCTTTGTTATTTAAAAACAAAAAACCCTTGCCCACCAATATCGTTTTGCAAAAGTTCAATTTGGGATTGGATAATGAGGAGGTAGTGGAGGCTAATTGGTTTAGAGAAAGACAGTGTCACACAGACAAGGTTCCTATCCTGGCTCTGACTTTCCAAGTGGTGAGTACTTGGACAAGTTGCTGAGGTCGCTGTGCCTCCTCCTGCCTAAGTGGGCACAGTAATAGGCTCAGCACAGAGGGCGCGGTTCTGGGGCTAAGTGCTAATGTTTGTAGATGCCTTTTACAGAATGCAGGGTGCAGTGAGCTCACCAGGATCAGTAGCTCTTAAGGACTGCTATTTTTTTTCAGATAGTGGGGGGTGTCTGCCTGGGGACCTTTAGCAATGTCTAGAGACATTTTTGTGTGTGTGTGTGTGTGTGTGTGTATGCTACTAGCATTTGGTGAATGTGACGGTCAGGGATGCTGTTCTTCAGCTTACGCTGTCCAGGACAGTCTCCACACAAATACCAACCCAGCTCCACATGTCACTAGTGTTGGTGGAGCAATCCCTGCTTTGATGCATTCATGTGATTTTTAGATTAGTTTTACCTGCTCCTAGCCTGGGTTTTATATTGTGATTTACCTTCATCTCTTTGGTGGCTTGCTTTCATTGGTCATGTGCATAGAGGAGAAATATGCCCATCTGCCAGGATATATGGCTGAGTGATCTTTGAAGATCCCCCCCACAACCCACTTTAATTTTCTTTAATCCAATAAACACCTTTGGATCTGGCTGTGCACTAGATCCTGGGTAATTGGTGTCAGTGGTAGGCAGGTATCCGAAAAGGCACATCCTGTCTCAGAGCGGAGATTCGTTGGCCTGAGTGGCTTCTTAAAGGATGTAGTGTTGTATAGAGGCCTGAAGGTCCAAGAGGAGATAGTTTGGCTCCAAGAACTGTCGGGAGGGTGGAGGGAGCAGCAAGCCAGGATGGGGCATTCAGGTAAGGCACCAGTGTACAGTGCCTGTGTAGATAGACTTGCAGCAAGCAAAAGTACCTGCTGGGTAGGCTGACACTCTTGTCAACATGCCAGACCCAAAGGGGTTTTCCCTTTGTGTACCAGTTTTATGGAGCCTTCCTGTGGGTATCAGACAGTCATCCTATCTGTGAGGTATTTGCCAGATGAGGAAACTGAGGTGCCATAGAGTTAGGTCCTTGATTAGGCCACACCAAAAATTTAGTTCAAGCCAGGCACCAGTGGCTTGTGCCTCTAGCTATTTAGGAGGCTGAGCTGTGAAGATTGAGGTTTGAAGCCAGCTTGGGCAAGAAAGTCAGACTGTTAACTCCCATTAATCACAAAAAAACTGGTAATGGCTAAGAAGATGGCTCAGTGGTAGAGTGCTTTCCTCACGTGCATGAGGCCCTGGGTTCAATTCCTAAGTGCCACATAAACAGAAAAGGCTGGAGGTGGCGCTGTGGCTCAAGTGGTAGAGTGTTAGCCTTGAGCTGAAGAGCTCAGGGACAGCGCTCGGGCCCAGAGTTGAAGCCCCACAACAGACCAAAAAAAGAAAAACACCTGGTAATGGAGCTGTGGCTCAAGTGGTAGAGCACTAGCCTTGAGGGCAAAAAGCTCAGGGACACCATCCAGGCCCTGAGTTCAAGCCCCAGGACCAGACAAAAAGAAAGAAAAAGATTGCTTAAATGGTTTGTTCCTGTAATCCCTGGTATGAGAGTGGCTGAGGTGGAGGATACTTTGGTCCAGGTTTGGCACACACACACAAAAAATTGAATTTAGGGCCTTTTTGGTGGGAAGAGCAAACACTTGCTATGTAGCCTAAGCTGGCCTTGAATCTCTGTCCTGCCTCTGCTGTCTCTTGAGTGCTAACATTGTAGATGGCTTCCATTTGGCTTTTTACTTTGGCTATTTCAAATCCATTTACTCATCTTTCCCTTTTTTCCTTTAAATGTTGGCTGGTCTGGGAGCTGAGTTCTGAGCTTGAGCCTTCCGGTCTCCTCCCAGTCCTTGGCCAAGTGTCCTTAGACTGTTTCCTAATTATTCCATCTCTCTGGGGTTAGGCTGTTACTTCCCCATCTTCCCCCAGGATTATGCCTTCTGCAGTCATGTACATGGCAGGTCCTGCTTGGGGATGGCTTCTGAACCACCCAGCCTTTTAAAGAGCTGTCAGGCCTGCTTTTTTTTTTTTAACTACTCCCCACCCCCGCCCCACTCCCCCCAGTCTGTTGTGGGGCTTGAACTCTGGGCCTGGGTGCTATCCCTGAGCTCTTCAACTCAAGGCAAGTGCTCTATCCCTTGAGCCACAGTGCCAGTTTCAGTTTTCTGGTGGTTCATTGGAGATGAGAGTCTCACAGACTTTCCTGCCCAGGCTGGCTTTGAACTGCAATTGTCAGATCCCAGCCACTTGAGTAGCTAGGATTACAGGCGTGAGAAACCAGTATCTGGCAGGCCTGCTTTTTTTTTTCTTTCTTTCTTTCTTTCTCTCTTTCTTTCTTCCTCTCTTTCTTTCTTTCTCTCTCTTTCTTTCTCTCTCTCTTCCTTTCTTTCTTTCTCTCTTTCTTTCTCTCTTCCTTCCTTTCTCTCTTTCTTTCCTGTCAGGGGTCCTAAACTTTGGGCTCTGTCCCTGAGCTCTTTAGCTCAAGGCTACCACTCTACCACTTGAGCCACAGCACCACTTCTAGCTTTTTTTGCTTATATGGTGCTGAGGAATTGAACCCAGGGCCTCATGCATATAAGGCAAGCGTTCTACCACTGAGTCACCTTCCCAGCCTCAGGTTTTCTCTGCTCCTGGAGTGCTTGGCCAGCCTGTGGACTGCCCGGATGCTGGAGCCTCTGCTGAACCTCAGAGCATTCAGGAACTGTCCTCATATGCCCTCCCGGAGGCCTCTGGTGGTGGCCTTTGACCTCCATTCTGAAGGCTTGGTCCCTGGGGCAGGTCAGGCAGGGCAGTGTTTGAAGAGACAGTAGTGGCAGCAGCAACAAAACAAGCCAGAGAGAGTGGTGTAGTTGGCAGGACAGGCTGAGGTAGTTTTCGTGTTTAATGGCTTCCCTTACAGTGGCTTCGTTTACAATTTCCCCTTCCGTTTGTAGCTAGAGTCATGGTTTTCAAACCGTTGCTAAAACCAGTGGTAGTCATTTCCGTTTTCTTGAAGTTGCTGAAAGTTGCAGCGGGTTGATGGGGGTGGCGGGCCGTGTGGTTCCAGCCTGAGTGTTTGAACGGTCCGAGGACAATACTGGGCTCACTTGGATAGACTTTGTGAGTCTCTTCACTATTTTTCTATTTTGAGAGCTGTCACCTAGGGTGGTGACCGTCTCTTACAGTTCTGTTGGAGAGGGCAGGGATGTGGTCTCAGGGACACCTGTGTTGTGTGGGGGCCTCCTGCCCTGAGTCACAGCAGCTCTTCCCGCTGGCTGTGTCTCTCACAGCCAGGGACACAAAGGCCTAGGTTAAGAGAATGAGAACAGCCTCTCCTGCCTGTTGGCAAGCTCATTAAGCGGGAAGGTGATGCTGAGAGTCAGGTGTAATAAATAAGGCTGAGGCAAATTGAAGGTTTGTGGGGAGGGAAAGGTTTTTCTCCCTTCTCCTCCCAGTTTTTCTGTATTGGCATCTTCATTGTTTAGAGCCTGAAAAGCAAAGTTTGCAAGGTGACAACTGCATGCATTTGACCCTGGTGATTCTGGAAGATCAACCTCGGTTAAATTCTCAAGGGATTGCCTGTTGGTGGAGCCTAAGCTTATGTGGACTTCCCTAGACACCACACCCCATATAGCCAGCACCTTCCTGACTGGTCCCTGAAAATGGAAGAGGTAGCCATGGCCTGTGTCCTTTAGCCAGCTGTCTGAGAAGTGAGTGGATGGGCTGGGTGCTGGGGGTTCACGCCTGTCATCCTAGCTACTCAGGAGGCTGAAATCTGAGGATCGCGGTTCAAAGCCACCCTGGGCAGGAAAGTCTGTGAGATTCCTCAGTTAACCACCAGAAAACCGGAAGTGGCACTGAGGCTCAAATGGTAGAGCGCACACATTGTGCTGAAGAGCTGAGGGACAGCGCCAAGGCCCAGAGTTCAGGCCCCATGACCGACCAAAAAAAAAAAAAAGATGGGCCTAGCTTTGAGAAGGGACCAGGGTATAATGGATTCTGCTGCTTGGTAGCTGGTAGGCTCTGTGTTCTTCTGCATCCCTTTCTGGGTGGGAACAATGGAAACCCTTAACCTTGTGTCTCCACTAGAAGCAAAGTAGTGAGAGGGTAGCTGCCTGGGTTTCCCAGAGGTGCTGGCTTGGCCCTGCCCCCACCCACTGTGTGAGGGGCTTATCTCCAGGATGTTGGTTTGAGGGTGGGTGAACCCACTGGAGCAGAACCTTGGTGAGTTTCAGCTCTGCCAAGCCAGCCTACCTGCCTCAGTATAGTGGCCCAAGACAGCTTTTTTTTTTCCGTATTATTTTTGTTGAAGTAGAATTCCTATGCCCTAAAGTTTATTCAACCTAAAGTCCACAATTAGGGGCTGGCAGTGTGGCTCAAGTGGCAGGGCACCTTCTTAGCAGTGCAAGGCCCCAAGTTCAAATCCCTATACTGTTCCCCCCGCCCCCCAAAAAAACCCCACAACACAATTCAGTAGTTCCCTAGTATATTTACAACTTTGTGGAACTATCAACAATTGATTTTATTTTTAATTTCTTTTTTCTCTTATGGTTGTTTTTAGAACATTTTAGAAAACCACCTCAAAAGAAACTGTTTCCATTAACAGTTGTTCTTCTAACTTTTCAACATCTGGCAACTTCACCTCTTCTGGGTGTGTCGTGTTGATGGCCTGTACAACTTGTGGCTCTTGGTGCCTGGCCTGGTTCTTTCAGCCCAGGAAGCTTCCTGCCCTGCCTGGTCTTACTGCCATGCAAGTCTCCCTTGTAGAGAAGGCTATGTGTTCTCCATGTTGAACTTCTTGTTGATTCCCACACTCACGGCTCCCCTTGGGCTTAGCAGTTGATCCTTGTGGTTACTCTAGTCCCAGGTACCCTGACAGTGCTTGGGAAGCCCCTTCCCATCCCATCTTCCCGCCCTTCCTTCCCTGCTGTTCACGTGCTATGTGAGAGCTGACTCACTACTACTAAGCCTCAGTTTTCTCATCTGTGACCAGGGTTCTTGTTGGCCTGATTTCCTCATTGCTAAGTGGGGGATACAAAGTAAGAAGGAGCCCCTGAGCTGGTCTGCCGAAACTAGGGCTTCCTGTGAAGTAGGAGCGCTTCTGCCTTCCTTCTCCATACCTGTGCCCTAAGGTTCCCTCCCCTGCCATTCCTTCCTCCCTACAGCTGGCAGGGGACAGGCTGGGGGGCTGGTGGGAATGATTTTACTTGGATTCCCCAGTGAGTAGATTGCCCCTATCTCATAGGCAAAGGTTGGTGACAACATGGTTTGGAGATAGGTGTCTGTCAGCTAATATTTGTGAGCATTTGCCATCACAGTGCTGGGTTCTATGCTACATGCATAAACCGGCATACCCTCGAGTTCAGTAACTTAGGGAAGGTTCTGGAATCAGTGCAGGTGTACCACAAGTGTGTCTTCACTGAGAGGAGTTTGCAGGCAGCTCTGAATGCGCTTCCCAGAGAGCATAGCAGGATGGTAGACAGGGGCAGGCCTGGGTGGCTTGGCAGGCTGGTTGGGGACTAGCCTCTGTACCTAACTTGAGGCACCTTCTGCTTGCTGTGCTGCCTCGCCTCTTCCCAGCTTCCTCCGAGGTAGGAGGAGGCAGCTGTGGTCAGTGCCTTGCCCTTGGCAAGATGCACATAGGTGCCCATCCTTGAGGCCATCCACCTTACCCAGGCTTCCATTTTCCTCCTGTGCGAGGGGTGGTGAGGAGTGGAAGTCATGTTCGGCAGCTGTGGACACGGGTTGGCTCTGCTGCCCTCGTTTCTGGAGCCTTATAGGCTCCTCATGAGGAGGAAGCTCCTTAGTGCTGGCTGGGCTCGGGGCAGTGCTGCTGTCTGTCTGTCGTCTGGTGCCCTGTGTGTGCTCCTTGTGGCTATGGAGCTGGGTGTTTGTAGCCTACTGTATTCCTCTGTTGAGGCTGTTTTTCTCGGCATGAATTTCTCTGGGCCCTGTCAGTGGCTATCCTGGGAGCTGACTGACCAGGACAGAAGTGGTGTTTGTCCTGTCCCAGGCAAGGGCGTGGGGTGACGGGTGAGATGATGGTTGGGTGTGTTTGTGTGTGCAGTGTCCAGGCAACAGCCGCAGCCTCCACGCACAGACTTCCTCTCTCCCCGTCACTGCCCCTCACAGCATGGGCACCAGCTGTGCACTGGTGGCCATGGGGCATTTGAATTTGTTCAGCAAATAGAGACTGCACTGAATTTGAAGCCAGAAGTTCAAGTGGTATCCTTGCTCAGATGGGGATGATGGACATGGGTTTGGGACAGGCTGAGGTCACTGGGCGGTGTTGGGCCTCTCCCCGCGGGCCCCACATGGTCCACGCTGAGGCCTTTGCTAGGTCTCCCTCCTGAGGAGGGTAGAGGACACCTTGCCCTGTAGGAAAGGGAGCTAGGCTGGAGGCAGTGGCTGGGGCTTCCAGGCGGGCCTATTTCCTGTTGGGACACCGAACATGTGTGATGTGGTGCTGAGTCCAGGACCATGGTGGGGAGGGATTGGTGGCTCCCAGACTCAGGGGTCTGACATGTGGATTGTGGTACTGCAGGGCGCCATGTTTTGGAAGTTTGACCTGCACACAAGCTCGCACCTGGACACACTGCTGGAACGGGAGGACCTGAGCCTTCCTGAGCTGCTGGATGAGGAGGACGTGCTGCAGGAGTGCAAGGTTGTCAACCGAAAGCTGCTGGACTTCCTACTGCAGCCGCCCCACCTGCAAGCCATGGTGGCCTGGGTCACCCAGGAGCCGCCCATCAGTGGTGAGGAGCGACTGCGCTACAAGTGAGTCCCCACCCACTCCTGCACTCAGGAGCTGAGGTTTGGGGGTGAGGGATCTGGGTGGGAGGACCAGGCTCTGCCTGGGCAGGCTTTAAGATCCACACTGCTCCCATTCTAGACTCAGAGCCCTTTGCCACTCACATTTTATGTTAGCCACTCCCTTCTGCTTTTTCGTGGTGTGTGTGTGTGTGTGTGTGTGTGTGTGTATGTATACGTGTGTGCATGTGCTGTGTGCGTGTTATTGTTTCCCCCTTCAGTACCAGGGTTTCAATGCATTTTGCTTGCTTGCTTGGCTGGTGCTCTGCAGTCCAGGTTTTTGCCGGTTATTTCAAGATATATTCTTACAAACTTTTGCTTGGCCTGGTGTGGAACTACAGTTTCCAGACCTCAGCATCCAGACCTCAGTGGTTAGGTGCTGTGGGCACCCAGCAATTTCCAGTGTATAAAGATGGGCCTCCTTCCACCCCCATGAGCCCCTCATTGTGTGTGTTCCCTTCCCAGGTACCCCAGTGTGGCCTGCGATATCCTGACCTCTGATGTGCCCCAGATCAATGACGCCCTGGGTGCAGATGAGTCCCTCTTGAACCGGCTCTATGGCTTCCTGCAGAGTGGTGGCAGCCTCAATCCTCTGCTTGCTAGCTTCTTCAGCAAGGTCATGGGGGTCCTCATCAACCGCAAGACGGATCAGGTGCCTGCCACCCCTCGGCACCCAGACGGGGTGGAGGGCGGAGGGCTGGGTTTGAGAGCCTGTGCCCTGATGCTGCCCTGTGCCCCCAGCTTGTGTCCTTCCTGCGCAAGAAGGATGACTTTGTGGACCTGCTGCTGCGACACATAGGCACCTCAGCCATCATGGACCTCCTCCTGCGCCTGCTCACCTGCGTGGAGCGGCCACAGCTGCGGCAGGATGTCCTCAATGTGAGAGGGCCTGCTTCGGGGGGGGGGGGGGGGGCGGTGGCACATGGCTGGGGACCTGACAGCCCCTGCCCTTGTCCCTCAGTGGCTCAATGAGGAGAAGATTGTCCAGCGGCTGATCGAACAGATTCACCCATCGAAAGATGACAATGTGAGTGCCGCGGACATAGCCCGGCTCCTCCCTCCCGCCGTGCCCACACCCTGCTTACCCCCTTTAAAGGGCACATGGCAAGAAAAGGGTGCAGTGTACCCACTTGTGTGTCCACATCTCCTTGACCACTGTGGGGGCCTGAGGGATAAGGGCAAGGATGGGGCCTGAGCTGCATGCTGGGATAAGCTCCACTCTCTGCTCACGTCCTGAGAACTGCTTTTTTTTCTTTTGTTGTGGGGCTTGAACTCTAGGCCTGGGCAATGTCCCTCAGCTCTTCAGCTCAAGCCTAGCGCTCTACACTTGAGCCACCGTGCCACTTCCGGTTTTCTGAGTGGTTTATTGGAGATAAGAGTCTCACGGATGTTCCTGCCTGGGTTGGCTTTTGAACCTTGATCCTCAGATATCAGCCTCCTCAGTAGCTAAGATGACAGGTGTGAGCCACTGGTGCCTGACCCTGACAACTTTTGTGACAGTCTACCAGGAGAACAGTGCATACATTTCGCCTCCCAGAGTTCTAATTCTGTAGCTTTCAGCATACTCAAAGGGTTGTAGAACTGTCACCACATCAAATTAAAGCATTTTTATACTGCAATTAAGAAACCTTGTGATCAGCTGGGCACTTGGTGGTTCACACCTGTAATCCTAGTTACTCAGGAAGCTGAGATCTGAGGACTGAAGTTCAGAGCCAGCCTGGCAGGAAAGTCCCTGAAAGACATTTTTTTTGTTGGTCATGGGGCTTGAACTCTGGTCATGGGCACTGTCCCTGAGCTCCTTAGCTCAAAGTGAGCCCTCTACCACTTTAAGCCACAGCGCCACTTTTGGTTTTTCTGGTGGTTAATTGGAAAGAAGGGTCTCACGGACTCTTTGCCTGGGCTAGCTTTGAACTGTGATCCTCAGACCTCAGCCTCCTGAGTGTGTAAGATTATAGGCGTGAGCCACTGGTTCCTGGCCTTTTTAAATTTATTTTTATCATTAGTTACCATCAGTTTTATTATAAAAGAGATAGGGAAATTATGTACATGATAGAAGATCTGAGGCCTTCCATGGCATGGGCAGCTTCACATGATGCCATTTCAACCATGTGGCCACGCTGCATGCTTGCCAAGAGTCTCATCATTCCTAAAGGAAAAATAACCCTTGTTATCTAGAACTACTCCGGTGCCTCCATACTCTGAGAGAAGAACTTTATCTCCCACTTTCACACTAACTGGCTGAATCTCTCCACCCTTTCCTTTAGAGCCCAATCCCACAGGCCACTACTGTGGCTCGCAGTACTTTTCCTTGGGACTTTTCTGGAAGCATAATGCCTCCTTCGGTTAGTTTTAGGTGCACTCCTTTTGACCAACAGTTGGTCAAACAGGAAGAAACTTCCTAAACATTTGTCCAGCCATGACTCTTGTGTTTACTACTCAGACCCCTGAGGAGACTCTTAAGTAGAACTCTTAACTAGAAAACTAGAGTGGTGGGCTGGGAAGGTGGCTCAGTGGTAGAGTGCTTGCTTTGCATGCATGAGGCCCTGGGTTCGATTCCTCAGCACCACATAAACAGAAAAAGCCGGAAGTGTCACTGTGGCTCAAGTTGGTAGGGTGTTAGCCTTGAGCAAAAAGCTCAGGGAGGGTGCTCAGGCCCTGAGGTCAAGCCCCAGGACTGACAAAAACAAAACAAAGCACAAACACCTTAGTTATTAGCAGTCCTCTACTTTTACTCATACCTCTGCTCCTAGCACAAGTACTTCTGTCTCTGGACATTTCTCTTCTACACGTCATACAAATGGGACCACACACTACAGCATCCTCTTTTCTCAGCCTCTTTATCTGGGCATGGTGTTTTCAAAGTTCATTTGCTGAGATGGTAGTTCAGTTGTAGAGCACTTACCAAGCATGCCGTGGGCCACTATTGGGGAAAACAGCAATGAACGCCCTCATTGTGTTGGTCAATGCTACGTTCCTTTTCTCAGCTGCTGTGGAGAGGATCTAGTGTGAAGTGCTCACGTGTGTGTACACCTGTCTCCTTTCTGGAAGCCTTTGCACCTCCTCATAGCACATGTGTGTGGCTCTGCTTGTGGAGGGTCAGCTTGTGATGGGTACTTTTTCCTCCTCTCCAGCAACATTCCAACGCATCCCAGTCCCTGTGTGACATCACCCGCCTGAGCCGAGAGCAGATGATCCAAGGCCAGGACAGCCCTGAGCCAGACCAGCTGTTGGCTACCCTGGAAAAGTGGGTTTGCAAAACGAGTGCCAGGACCCAGCAAGCAGGGCGGTCTCAGGACAGCCTCTACCCTCCCTGATCTCTGATCTCCCCTCCCTGTAGGGAGATCCCCAGCCTCTCTCTGACCTCCTCTCTCCCCCCAGGCAGGAAACCATTGAGCAGCTCTTGAGCAACATGTTCGAGGGGGAGCAGAGCCCGTCTGTCATCGTCAGTGGAATCCAGGTGCTGTTGACCCTGCTGGAACCCAGGAGGCCAAGGTGAGGGGACTGGCCAGAGACTGCGGGGCCTCTGCTAGAGCCATTACAACTCCCCAGACTCCAAGGTCTGGATGGTCACTGGGCAGACGAGTGGCTGCTCTAGACTCCTTGTTGATTCCCAGCCAGAGGCTGTTCCTCCTCTACTTGCCTGACCTGTCCAGATGACTGGCACCCCGGGAACATGGCTGCACCCTTCGTATACCATGCACAGGCTTGTCTGACTCAACTGTCCTCCATCCTCCCCCTGCCCCAGGTCCGAGTCTATGACCATGAACAACTTCTTCAGCAGTGTGGATGGGCAGTTGGAGCTCCTGGCCCAGGGGGCCCTGGACAGTGCCACATTCAGCCCAGGTGTCCTGAATGCTTTGCGCCCTCGACTTGGCTGCTTCCACCAACTCCTGCTTGAGCCTCCCAAGGTTGGGAACATGAAGAGTTCTGTGGTCTTGAAAGGAGGTGGGTGGAAGAGAATGTGGCTTTGGGCCCTGAGCCCCCTGTTTCCCTGTTCCTGCAGCTTGAGCCTCTACAGATGACCTGGGGCAGCCTTGCCCCGCCTCTGGGCAACACGCGGCTGCATGTGGTCAAGCTCCTGGCCAGTGCCCTGAGTGCCAATGACGCTGCCCTAACACAAGAGCTCCTGGTTCTGGACGTGCCCAACACCTTGCTGGTACGGGGTCTGGGGACTGGGGCGTGGAGGTGGGGCGGGTTGTCTCCAGTACTAGCCTGTGCCCCACTGTAGGACCTCTTCTTCCACTACGTCTTCAACAACTTCCTGCATGCACAAGTGGAGGTTTGTGTGAGCGCCATGCTGAGCTCAGGGCCCCATCCTGACAGCAGCTCTGACACATCAGTTCCAAACCCTGTTGTGAAACATGTGAGTTGGGACTCCCTGCTCCCTGACCTCCCTCCAGGGCTCCTTCTCCCAGAAGGCCCTCCCCTTTCCTTTCTCCCACCTTCTTTGAGCAGTATCCCTGTCTGCACCTGGGGGTGTCAGGGTTCATTAGGCAGCAGAGGTGAGGATGCTGGGACCTCGTGTGAGCTGGGAGGGTGGAGGCTGTGTGCACAGTGCTGCATGCTCCCTGTAGAGATCCAGAGACAGTGCTGCGTGGGGTGGTGCCTGCCAGAAGTGTCAGTACTCAGGAGATGGGAGGATCATCAGTTCAAGGCCAGCTTAGACTAGACAGCCGGACCCTGTCTCAGTCATAAAACCAAAACCACAAAACTGCCAGATGTCTTTGGCCTCTGTTATGGCCTGGGGAAATGTCCTTACCAGGTCAGGTCCCCCTTGCTGCTGCTGAGCTTCCTGAGAACAGGCCCCTGGGATACTCGCTGAGTATGACCCCTGAACTACCCCCTGAGTACGACCCTGGGCTGAGCCCAGCTGCTCTCTTGCAGCTACTGCAGCACTGCTGCCTGGTGGAGCGGATCCTGACATCCTGGGAGGAAAACGACGGCGTGCAGTGAGCACAGCTTCCATGGATGGGTGGACAGGGAGGGGAGAGGGAGGATGAGGTGGTGGGGAGGGCTAGAAGAAGGCCTGAGGCACCTGGTGTCCAGCCTGCCGTTCAGCTGTGGCCTCCACGCTCAGGTCTGGGGGAGGCCCAAGGAAAGGCTACATGGGCCACTTGACGCGTGTGGCCAACGCACTGGTGCAGAACATGGAGCAGGGACCCAATGCCGAGCAGCTAGGGCAGCTGCTAAAGGGTGAGGCATGCTGGCTGGGGCTGTGGGGGTTGGGGTGTCTGAGGCTTCCAGAACCCGCAGACACCTTACCACCCCTTGTATGCAGAATTGCCAGATGAGCAGCAGGAGCGGTGGGAGATGTTTGTGTCAGGACCCCTGGCTGAGACCAACAAGAGGAACACGGTGGATCTGGTGAGGTCCCCGGTCCCCGTGGCACCCTGTTTTCCTCCTTAGCCAGCCCCCCAGGCCCACCTGCATGCCCTCATCTGGGGGCTCCCACAACCCCTGACTCCTCACCGCTCTGTCCTCAGGTGAACACCAACCATCTCCATTCCTCCAGCGATGATGAGGATGACCGGCTCAAGGAGTTCAACTTCCCCGAGGAGGCCGTGCTGCAGCAGGTGGGCTTGAGGCTGTGCCAGGCCACAATGGGGGTCTGCCTGCCCTGGAGCCCCTCCAGCACCAACCTCTGCCCCTTGCAGGCCTTCATGGACTTCCAGATGCAGCGCATGACCTCGGCCTTCATTGACCACTTTGGCTTTAATGATGAAGAGTTTGGGGAGCAGGAAGAAAGTGTGAAGTAAGTGTCCCTTGCACAGGTGTGGGCTCTGCCCTGCCTGTCACAGCACGTGCTGTACCTGTATATGTGGAATGGCGGTCCTGTTCACTTCATGATGCCACACGTGTCCGCCTGCTGTCCACCATGGGCAGTCATCTGTTTATGTACCATGGCCCAGTCTGCAGATACTTCTGAGCTTTCCCAGCCATGGCCTGAAACCGTGTAGTCTTCCTCCCCACGCTGAAGGCCAAGAGCATGAGCAGACACCCTCAGACTGAGGACAGGTAACAGGGCATGGTGCCTCAGTGAGACTGAGTGCTTCAGTGTCACTACCAGCAGAGAGCTGCTGCAGACAGCGGGCGAGGCCCGGGATGGTGGCAGAGCATGGTGAGGGCTGTTGTGCCATGTCTCCACAGTGCCCATCACTTGCCTCTGAACAGGGCTTTAGATCTCACATAGCCAGAAATATGGAGGGTTTCATTAAACTCCAAAGATGATTCTTAGTTCACTGTAGAATTTAAGCCCCAGATTGTAGGACTGTCAAGATATGTTGCTAGCTTGCCCAGTGTTCTCACATTGGGTATCAGCGCCCCCTGTCAGGTGTGTTCCGGGAAAAGTCCTTTCACAACACTGTACACTCCCACTAAAGACAAGAAAGCATAGCGGGCTGCTACTCAGGAAGCTGAGACCTGAGGATCAGTGTTTGATGCCAGTCCAGGCAGCAAAGTCTGTGATTCTTATTTATAACCACCAAAAAAGTGGAGCTGTGGCTCAAGTGGTAGAGCACCTTGAACAAAAAATTTCAGGGACAGCGCTAAGTTCAAGCCTCAAGACCAGCACACACACACACACACACACACACACACACACACACACACGCACACACGCACACGCATGCACGCGCGCATGCACACACACACGTATAGCAACCACAAACCCAAAGCCTGCTTGGATAAGTGATTCTGTAGCACTCTGCAAACTGGGTGTGCCCCATTCTCACACTAAGTGGCTGGTGAGAGGGAATGACTGGAACCAAATCACAACAGTCAGTTGTTGCTCCGAGGGGAGACACCAAAGTGTATTTAAACTTCTTATGGTCACACCTGTCAGTCTTACACCCGTCAAACCACACATGGTAGTGATTCTATTTCCTTGGTTTTATGGGGTTCCACAGAGTTAGGTGACTTGCTGTAGGCTGCCCTGGGGACGGGTGCAGGAATGGGGTTCGGAGCTTCCTGCACTGCATGCATGCCCCCTCCATTCCTGACTGCACGCCGTGGTTAGTGTATTTGTGTTAAGTGTTTCACGGAGGACACATCCTCTGTAGCTATGAGAATGGAGCATGCTGGGAATATGTGACAGGTAAGAGTTCTGTGAGGATTGAAGATGGGGTACATACCCGTTTCAGGGAGCAGATGAACTTGCAGCGAGGAGTCGTGTAGGTGAGGTTAAAGAATGTGACCTAACAATGCTGCCCCCACCCCGTGGCTGGCTCACCATACTCCTACCTTCTCTTCTAGTGCACCGTTTGACAAGACCGCCAACATTACCTTCTCCCTCAATGCTGATGATGAGAATGTAAGCACTGCTAACCCGTCTGGGTTGTGCCCAGTGGGGGTGTCGTGGGAGGGCCGCAGGCAGTGTTGACCCCTCCGCCTCTCTGCACCACAGCCCAACGCCAACCTGTTGGAGATTTGCTATAAGGACCGCATCCAGCAGTTTGATGATGATGAGGAGGAGGAGGAGGGCCAAGGCTTGGCAGAGTCTGATGGAGAATACGGTGCCTGGCAGAGTGGCCAGCCGTCAAGGGCATCCCGTGCAGGCCAGCCACCTGGTGTCCGGTGAGCCAGCCAGCCTCCCACAGCTCAGCTCCCGTGTGTTAGGGGCCTCAGAGCTCTCAGATGTATGGGGACTAGGCTGACGTGCATGAGGAGGTCAGGAAGGTGTATTGGAGTATTGCTTGGGCTGCCTGAGTGTTGCTTGGGGTGCCTTCATCTTGAGTGTTAGAAACCCAGTAGAGACAGACTGCAAAAGGGACAGGGCACTTTCTCCTATAAAGGGCATAAGATGACTCCAGGCAGTATCCCTCTCCTTGTTCGGGGAGTGGGGGGCATGACCACATTCCTCTGGAGGTGGTGACAGCTTGTGCTCTGGTCACTGTGATCAAGTAGATTAGTGTTGTGCATACTAGCTGGCATGAGCACTGACTCATGGCTCCTTGCCCTGTGATGTGTGGAGTGCTTGTTACAGTTGATTGGGGACATGTGCACTGGATCTGGGAAAGCCCGGATCCGGAGTCGTTTCCTGGCTCCTTGGGTGCTCTCTGCCAGCCACTGCCCTCTCTCCAGGGACATTCTGCCCACAGATCCACCTTGCCTCTTCTCTGCAGAATTATACAAGTTGAATATTCTCTATCTGAAATGCTGTCTTGGCTTTGGAGCATTTCACATGCTGGACATGGTCTGCCACTGTCCTAGTGCCAGCCCTGGTGGTGGTGTGGGCCTCCTCTTGCTGCCTTGTGGCAGGCGGGCAAGCAGGCAAGCAGGCAGGCAAGCAGGCAGGCAGGCAGGCAGGCAGGCAGGCAGGGTTAGGGTTAGGGTTAGGGTCAGGGTCAGGCTCTCATGTGGGCCCAGCCTTTGTTGGCTGGTTCTAGAGCAGATGGGCCTTTGGACAGGTTCTTGTTCACTAGTAAGGATGAGGTGGTGATTCGTGTGTTTTCATGTAAGTGTGTTGTAATGATGAGGTGTGTCCGTAGCTACAGGTGCCGGCCATTCCCAGGGCTGAAGACACAGCTCCCTGGAGGCCAAGTGCTGGCATTCCTGCCTAGAGGCTGTGATAGGGGTACCCCCTCACCACTGCTGCTCCCTCCTTGCCCTCTGGCCTCAGCACCTGTATGCCCTGGGGCTCAGTGGCCCTTCCTGCCTCCTGTGGCCATGTGGGGTCAGTGGCCTGGTCCCACGTGGCTTCTAATGAGGCAGTGTCTGGGGCAGGAGTGGAGGCAGCACGGACAGTGAGGAGGATGAGGAGGACGAGGATGACGAGGACGAGGAGGGGGACCGCCGGGGAGCCTGTGTGGGGGCTGGCCCTCCGTTCTGCTCCAGCCCTGGATCTCAGCCTCTCAGTGAGTGTCGAGCGCTTGTACTCTGTGTTCTGGGTGTGTGCCTGTCTGTGGCAGGCAACAGCTCACTCTGCTCCTGCTCCCTGCCCCAGGCCCAAACTGGAGAGCCACCTTTGACACAGTGCCTGTGGATACCCTAACGGGTCCCCAAGTCTCCAGGGAGGAGGAGCTGCACGCTGGGCCCCCAGCCCCCATGGTGTCTCTCAGCATGTCCCTCGCCCAGAGTGCGACCACTTCTCCAGTCCAGGATGCCCTGGAGCTCAGGTGGGGACTGGTGGGCAGGTGAGCTGGCACCTACGCCTGGGCTGAGCTGCAGTCCTGGTGCTGACCATGGCTGTGCCCTTGGGTCCTCCCTTGCTCAGGTCTCAGGATGCCAGTACCGCCTCAGCACCTCAGGAAGCCGCTGAGGCCCTCGAGGGCGTGGAAGCCCCGGGTAAGTCATGCCTTCCTTTCTTCCCTCCCTCCCGGGGGGCTGGGTGCCCAGCTGGTGGGGATGACAACTGACAGTCTGTCCTCTCCCTCCATAGCCCCCGACCCGGGCACCCTGCGTGGGATGTGCTCCTCCCCCAGCTCCTTGGACAGGTGACCAGTGGGGGCCCCTTCTGTGCTATTGGTGGGGGTGAGGGAGAGGAGGGCAGAGAAAGCCAAGCCTTATCTATCCCTGACCTGCCAGTAGCTGAGTCCTGCCTCATTATCATTAACCCCTGTGCTGGGTGGACTTTTCTCGTGAGTGTGGTGGGGGGGCTCATGTGAGAGCCTCAGCCTGCATCAGGAAGAGCTTCTACAAAGGTGGCAGGTGGAAAGGAGCTGGGGTCACACACCTTGTCAGCTGCCTGGGCCTTGTAGGCATGTGGGTGGTTCTCGAGACCCCTTCTGGAGGGGGTAGCCGGCCCTGGCAGGCTGGGTTCTGGATGCATCTACAGGTGCAGTGGAGGGGACTCATGCCCATGCTGTTCTTGCCCACAGTGCAGCCAGAGACCCCTCTACCTCTGTCCCGGCCTCCAGGACCCAGCAACACCCCCGGTCCAGGGACGGGGGAAAGAACCCAGAGACTTTGAGCTTTCCTGAAAGCCAGAGGTGAGCCTCAGAGTGGATTGTGGGAGAGGAAGGGAGGGTTAAGTGGGGCAGGGAAGTGACCCAGGTCCTCTTTCCTGACAGTGCTCAGGCCCACGAGCCTCCGCCTGTGCCCAATGGCTCTGCTCCTGGAGGGCCCGGCTCCCCGGACTCCCAGTGAGTGTGCGGCAGCCTGGGGGTCGGGCAGTGGCGGGCGCCTGGACACTCAACCTATGTCTCCTGTTCCCAGGTAGCTGCCGCATGGCAGTGGTGGCCAAATCTCGCGTCCTTCCCGTGGACCCCGGCGAGGCAGCGTGTCCTCGATGGGCGCCCTGTCCTCACCATCCCCTCCATTCTTTCTGGACTGCCTGGAAGCTGGCGCCAGAGAGACAGAACCCTCACCCATTGCACTGAGAAGAGAGATTACGGAGCTTTGCCTCCTAGAATAAAGAGAATCACATAGAGAAAGAGAGACGTATATTATATATATATATATATATATATTATATGTGTGTATGTGTGTATATACATATACATGTGTGTATATACACGTGCACACATATATATATTGAAGAGGAGAGAGGGAGCCAGGCTGTGCTGGGGCTGGGCTTTGAAGCACACTCCCATCTGTCTCAGTGGGGATTGTGCTGGGGTCCCAAGGCCAACACCACTCCTGTCCTGTGCTGTGCTCTGTGCTCCGGTGCAGACCCCATACCCAGCTTTCAGCTCAGGTCCACCGGGGGCAGCTAGTGATGGCATCAGAGGGCCCTGCCCAGGGGGTTGTGCCTTCGCCAGACCCTGCCCTCTGACCCAGGCACCTGACCCCAAGAAGTGGGGCCTCCCTGGCAACATCCCTAGGGACCCTACCCTGAGTCGGGTCGGCTGGGTCCCCTGCGCCAAGGGTATGGGGTCCCAGCCCTGCTGCCAAGTGACCTTGTCCCGGCTCCCCCTCCCCCAGGCTGGTGTGAGTATGTGTGTGTGCTGAGCTTCTATTTCATATTGCAAATATAAATAAAGGAAGACAGTTTACGATTCCTGGTGGCAAGAGTGGTGGAACTGGGGTGGTGAGGTTGTGAACCTCACTGGACAGCAGTCCCGGGAGGTGGGGACATTCAAAAGAGGCAGGGACTCCAGAAGGAAGAGACCTAGCCTGGACCATCTCTGGCGCTGGTGCACAAACCCTTGGACCTACTCGGGCAGGTTGGGTGGGGGGCTTCGAGGGCCGGGAGAGCTGTCCACGTGCCCCTAGTGGGGGGGGGGGGCTTGTGTGTTGCCTGGGTGAGGGGGACATAATGGCCCAATGGTGGGCCAATGCACTGGGACCAGTACACTGGCCCCCATCTTCCACATGGGAGGCTGAGAGCCAGGCACTGACACCAGTGGCCCTCATCCACGAGAAGGCTCACTTGCATGTGTACAGTTGAGCGAGGCTTGAGCCAGTGTTGCCTGTGATCTCATCCAGTGCTCTTGGGAGCAGGAGCCCAGTCCACCTGCAATGGGCACTGGTCAGCTTCCACACCCACAGGCCTGCACCGCTTGCTTTGAGCAGAGTCCAGGGCCCCTTGTGCTTGGCAGAGGCTGTGGGAGAGGGCGGGGAGTCCTTGGATCTCAATGTGCACCTTATCAGGTGCCCTGGCAAGGCCATCTAAGGTGGGGGCAGCATCTCCCCGAGCCTTCTTATCAGTCAGAGTCCACAGGACGGTCTTTGGGTTAACGTATAACTAAGAGACCGCCCCTCCACCCTGTGAAGCCACTCTGGGTGTCACGGACCAACATGGACGCTAGGAAAAAGGGGGTGCCCTTGAAGACGTCTGTGGTCCAAGTGAGAGCCTACAGAGGCTGGGGGCAATGGGATGGGAATCAGTAGTTGTGGGGAGGCTGGTTTGGGAGACCTGGTTTTGGTCTTTGGCAGGAGACCTGGGCGGCAGGTCACCAGGGAGACTGGACATCCTGATCCTCAAAGAGACAATCTGGGCGGCTCGGGGTGGGGATGGGGAAGAAGCCCGGAGAGCTTGGTTGAGATGGTATTGCCTCACGCAGCCGGCTCCTCCAATCCTCCTGCCTCACACTCCACTGGAGACCCATTGTGATGGGTGGGGTTGAGGGCTGGGCTCCCAAGAGGTTCAGCAGCTTGCCCCTCCTCTGGGCACCTGTGGGACCCGTTGATCTCCCTCTGCGCGTCTACAGGTCTGCCTGTGGCTGAGCCCCTTCTTCTTCGCCTGTGCCATCTACTTCCTGGTCTGGATTCCAGAGAGCCACCAGTCCTGGGTCAGCGCCCTGGTCAAGTGCTTGCCTGTTCTTTTCCTGGTGGTGTTCCTGTGGGCTGTGGCCCCGGGCAGGGCCTACACTAGGCTACTCCAGGGAGCACTTGTGTGCTCAGCGGTGGGGGATGCCTGCCTCATATGGCCCGAGGCCTTCATCTATGGTGAGTGAGGGTTAAGGGTGCTAGGTGGGGTCCGAACCTGTTGCACAGCCAGACTACTGCTCAGAGCTGCAGGGGGCAGAAGTGGTGGGTTGGGCCCTGGAGGAACATAGGAGAGGGCGAGGGGGTCTCAATGAGTGTCCAGCAGGTAAGTAAGGCCTTGCCAAGGAGGGGATGGTCCTTAGGAGTCTTGAAGGAAGGAGGTGCCCGGGCACCTTGGGGTGGGGAGGAGGAGGAGCTTGCTGAGCCAGGAGATCACAATGGAAAGGGCCTTCTGGCTGGCAGGCTAAGGGTGCAAGGCCTCACAGATGGCGGGGGTCTGGGGGGCACAGAGCAGACCTAGGACGCGGCCCTGCCTAAGAAGGGTCTGAGGGTGAGGTGCGCTGGGCCCATGGCCTCGGGGGCAGTGTCTGCACCCAGTCCTCGTCACAGCCAGGGCATTGATGGTGGCGAGTGGCGCTTGGCTCCCACACGCTCATCTCTTCCCCAGGCATGGTTGCCTTCGCTGCTGCCCACCTCCTCTATCTCCAGGCCTTCGGCCTCTCACCCCTGAGGCTGAGTTTGTTGCTGTGCCTCCTCCTGGCATCTCTGGTGTACTACGGCTGCCTCCTGCCACACCTGGCACCCAGCATGGTGCTGCCTGTGGCGGCCTATGAGCTGGTCCTGACTACCATGCTGTGGCGGGGCTTGGCCCAGGACGGGTGTACAGCGTGGGGCGCCCTGCTCTTCACCTTCTCTGACGGGGTACTTGCCTGGAACAGCTTTGCCCAGCCCCTGCCTCATGCTCGCCTGGTGATCATGGGTACTTACTACGCGGCCCAGGCCCTCCTTGCCCTGTCAGCCCTCACAAGCTGGGGCCTCAAGATGCACTGACGAGGGCCCAGACAGTCAAGGGTCACCCCATTCTGTCTCACAAGGACCCCCAGATTGGCCCACCCTGGGAGGCTTACAGCAATAATACTCTTTAGTGCTAGAGACATTTGTGTGTGGCTGGCAGAATCAGTCTTATCTCCTGGCTCAAACTACCTCCACTCAGTTCTGAGTCTGGATTCCAGGGCCCCCACACTGCCTCCTTGGCCACTGCTGCTTCTGCTTCTGGTCATCAGCCACCGAGCGCCTGTCCCTTCTCACCCCAGGCTTTTTTGTTGCTTAAATAAAGGCCTTGAAACTGCAGTGTCACAGTTATTTTGGGAAGGACATTGGGATGACAACCATTTGTACACCTTCCCTCCTTTCCTCCCTCTTTCTACTTTCTTCTCCTGCTTTTACTTTCCTTTTTTAAAAAATATTGTTTTTGTGCTGGTACTGGGGCTTGAATTCTGGGCCTGGCCACTGTCAGCCTTTCTGGTCAAGGCTGGCATGCTACCACTTTAGCCACAAGTCCACTCGGACTTTGCAGCCTGGGCTGACTTTGAACCTTCATCCTCAGATCTCAGCCTCTCCTGAGTGGCACCATCTGTAGCATGGTGGGGAAAACACCTCGTGGAAAAGTGCCTCATGGGTTCTTTGGTGTTTGTCAGTACTGGGGTTTGTGCTTGCGACTTTGCTTTCGCCAGTCCTCTGCAGCGTGAGCCCTGCTCCCAGCCCTTCTTGCCTTAGTTACCCCACAGGGCCTCATGTCTGCAAATGGTTGAGAAGGCTCTGTGGTCCTGGGCTGGCCTGGATCTCAGCATGGGATGAGCGTGCCTGGGCTTCAGCTGCCTGGCTAGGTTTTTTTTTGTTTTTGTTTTTGTTTTTGGGTCCGGTCGTGGGCCTGAACTCGTGGCCTGGGCGCTGTCCCTCAGCTCTTCAGCTCAAGGCTAGTGCTCTACCACTTGAGCCACAATGCCACTGCTTATGTGGTGCTGAAGAATTGAACCCAGGGCCTCAGGCATGCAAGGCAAGCACTCTACCACTGAGTCACCTTCCAAGCCACCTGGCTAGGTTTTTTTTTTTTTTTTTTTTGTCAGTCATGGGGCTTGAACTCTGGGCCTGGGTGCTGTCCCTCAGGTTGTCAGCTCAAGGCGAGCACTCTACCTCTTGAGCCACAGAACCACTTCCGGTTTTCTGGTAGTTCATCGGAGATAAGAGTCTCATGGACTTTTGTGCCAGGGATGGCTTTGAATCGTGATCCTCAGATCTCAGCCTCCTGAGTAGCTGGGGTGACAGGTGTGAGCCTCCAGCGCCCAGCTGCCTGGCTGGTTTTGATAGAACTGGTTTTACATAGTCCACCCTTCTCAGGGGTGTGTCCAATGAGCTGGCCGGGTTTCATGGACTCTTGGCAAGTCAGTCTGTAGCAGGTGGAGAAGAGCCTCAGCCTGGGACAGGGTGGTGGTGTCTGGCGCTCTGCCTACCCCCTCTGCTCCCCTTAGGCCCTGGATTATACTCACATTGCAGCTTCCATCCGGCAACGCCCCCAAGGAGGCAGGGAGGTGGGATAAGAGCATCTATGAGACTGTTCGCAGCTGGTGGCCTGTCCCAGAATGTGGCTGGCACCGTTTGTGAAGACCTGAATGAGACAGTGAAGACCATCCCCTCCTGGTCTTTCCCCTACAATCTGCCCTGTCCCCCACAAGCCCAACACAGCCTTCTGCCTCACACCCGTGTTCTCACTAGAAATGCCTCTATGGGGCCTTGGCTCTGGAATACGGGACACACTGAGGAATTGTACTGCGTTCTCGGGAGATTGCTGGGAGCCTTTGCTTGGGCTTTTCCACAGGGAGCAGGGCTGCGGGAGAGAGGGGCTTGTCATCCAGGAGGGCAAGGGAGGGCAGGCCCTGGCCAGGGACCTAGACAGATGATTGAGGCATGGCAGCCTGCAGGGAGATGCCCAATGTGTGTGTGGGGGGGATGAAGGGTAGACATCTGTAGAAGCCTGCTGGGATGTGAGATGCAGAGATAGCAGATTTTTTTTTGGGGGGGGGTGTCATGAGGCTTGAACTCTGGGCCTGGGTGCTGTCCCTCAGATCTTCAGCTCAAGGCTAGCACTGTACCACTTGAGCCACAGCGCCACTTCCGGTTTTCTGGAGATAAGTCTCACGGACTTTCCTACTTGGGCTGGCTTTGAACCGCAGTCCTCAGATCTCAGCCTCCTGAGTAGCTAGGATGACAGGTGTGAGCCACCGACACATTTAGGGATAACAGATTTGAAGAGCTGCAGTCCCCAGGAGGGCACTGGTCTTCCCCAACCCACCTGCAGGCTCTGCCAACTGGAAACAAGGCTGGCTCTCTCTTGTCTTCTCAGGTGCTCTACCACTTGAACCACTTTTTGCTGGAGACGAGTCTCTCAGATTTTCCTGTGCAGGGCTGACTTTCAACTAGGATCCTCAGATCACAGCCTCCCATGTAGCTAGGATGACAGGCGTGAGCCACCACTGCTGGGCTGAGCGTGGGCTTAACAAGCTCCAAGTAGTTCTCTTGTGTGCTCTACTTTAGCATACAAGGGAATTTCTAATTTGGATTGATCATGAGATCCCTGCCACAAGATGTGACACTGTAGCGAAGCTGGGTTTACTACTTTCAAGGGTGTAGTTCTGAGGACTCCAGTTCTTCCCATTATCAAAACCCAGAAGGTGAGTTGGACACCAGTGGCTCATGCCTGTAATCCCAGCTACTCAGGAAGCTGAGATCTGAAGATCACTGTTCAAAGCCAGCCTGGACCGGAAAGTATGTGAGACTCCAGTAAACCACCAGAATATTGGAAAGTGATGCTGTGGCTCAAAGTGGTAGAGCACTAGCCTCAAGTGAAAAAGCTCAGGGTCTGTGCCCAGGTTCAAGCCCCATGACTGACAACAAAAACTCAGAAGGTCTGTCTGTCTGCTGCTTTCTAGGCAACTCTTGTGCTCTCTGGACCCCTGGGGTCTCCTGAGGCATTCTCCATTGGGTCTTGACTCCCTAAGCCCCAGAGCAGGGCTCGTGGGGCCATCGTATGCCCCATAAGTCATAGATGCAGGGGCTCCCTTTCCCCAATGCCCCGCCATCCTGGAGAATGAGGTGGTCCACAAGTCCACGGCATGGTCCATAGCTGAGTCTCCCAGCACCCTCTGCATTGAGGGGACCCAAGCCAAGCGAAGCTGGTGGCTGGGTGGGGGCTCTGCAGGCACAGAGCACCCACCCCACCCTCCTTGCCACCCAGGGGCTTCTCACAGATGCCCTATTCCCAAGAGGACCGCTCTGGAGCCAGCCCTGGGAAGTGGACAGCAAGTGATTTCTGGAAACAAAGAACCACCAGACTGGTTGAGACCTTTGTCCCCTGGTCTCCCAAGTGAGGTCATACTTCCACTGTCATCTCTTTTTTTTTTTTTTTTTGGTCGGTCGTGGGGCCTGAACTCTGGGCCTGGGCGCTGTCCCTCAGCTCTTCAGCTCAAGGCGAGCGCTCTACCACTTGAGCTACAGCACCACTTCCGGTTTTCTGGTGGTTTATTGGAGATAGGAGTCTCACGGTCTTTCCTGCCCGGGCTGGCTTTGAACCGCGATCCTCAGATCTCAGCCTCCTGAGTAGCTAGGATTACAGGCGTGAGCCACCAGCGCCCGGCTCCACTGTCATCTCTTATGACATCCTTCCAATCCTTTCCCCGAAAAGGAAACCAGAAAGTCACCTGCCCAGAGTCCAGAACCCGAGGACTGGCTCTGTGCCGCCATCTGGTGGTGACTCTCTAGGTGGGCATCATGCATCAGTGTAGATCCAGGGCTCAGGGCTGCTCAGGCTGGTAAGAGGACGGGCAGGCCCTGGATTGGGGAGCATCAGGGTAGCTGGGGTTCCTTCTGGTGACTGGGGGGGTTCTGTGCATAAGAGGAAGAGTTGAGGGCTGGGAAGGTGGCTCAGCAGTAGAGCACTTGCCTTGCATGCATGAGGTCCTGGGTTCAATTCCTCAGCACCACATAAGCAGAAGAAAAAAAAAGCCAGAAGTGGCGGTGTGGCTCAAGTGGTAGAGCGCTAGCCTTGAGCTGAATTGCTGAGGGAAAGAACCCAGGCCCAGAGTTCAGGCCCACGACCGGACCCCCCGCCCCCCCCCAAAAAAAAAAGAGGAAGAGGTGAGGTTAAGATGGGGGTGTGGGAGGGGTGAGGTCGTCTCATGAACTTTAAACCTGGGTTGGCCTTGAATTTTCGTTTTCCCAACCTCAGCTATCCAAGTAACAAGGATTACAAATAGGAGCCACAGTGCCTGACTCATTTTGGATTTTTGAGATGAGGTCTCAATATATAACCCAGAATAGCTTTGAACTCACAGTCCCATCTCCACTTTCCAATGCTGGGATCACAAGTCATGCACCACTATGCCCAACAGAAGATGGGTTTTGAACAGAGGACAAGTACTAGTCGATGGGCATAGAGGCAGAAGAGGTGATATATCTGTGTCTATATATCTATATCTGTATATATCTATGTATGTGTCTGTTTATATTTATCTGTCTGTCTATCTATCTGTTGACAAGCAAAGTGGTCATGCCTAAGAGTTGGTAAAAGATCTAGAGGGAGAAGAGAACCAAAAGAAAGTAAAACAGAAACAGAGAAACATGAATAGTTGGTAGGGGAGAGGTCTCACTGCACAGTGGAGAAGAACTGTCTTGCAAGCAAAACCCAAAGTTACACAGATAGGGAAACAGAGGCGTTGTCAGAGAAACTGGCTTCCCCCTAAAGACTGGGTGGCTGGTGGCTCACGCCTGTCATCCTAGATAGTCAGGAGACTGGTATCTGAGGATTTCAGTTCAAAGCCAGCCTAGGCAGAAAAGCTTGTGAGACTCTTACATCCAATTTAATCACCAAAAAAGCTGGAAGTGGGGCTATGGTTCAAGTTGGTAGAGCACCAGCCTAGAGTGAAAAGCTAAGGGACAGCTCTGAGTTCCGGCCCAGGATGGACTCACACACAAGAAATGACTGCCCTTGTCTTGTACCAGGTGTTCAGGAAAGCCCTGGGCAAAGTGCAAGAGAAAGGAATGCATGCACCCTGCCAGGTGCAATCAGAGGGGGTGTGGTCTGCCGGCCAGGTGTGACCCCAGCAAGCCCTGCTTCCTCCTGTGACTCAGAGAAAATGTCAGGGGCTGAGTTCCCGCTCCTCAGCCCCCCTCCTTGACAGAGGGTGTGGTGGATATCATAGGTAGGGATGGCAGACATTTATTCATCAACTACTGTATGCCAAAGGCGGCCTTGGCATGAGACGTCCCCAGGGCCCTCACTTCCCACTGTTAGCGACCTCAGGGCTGAATGTGGTGATTCCCAGCGTGTGGGTGTGCCAGCACGTGGGCATGGCCTTCTGAGGGTGTGCGGCCATAGACATTGGTGATGACTTCCTTGCTCAGCTCTCTTGCATCTGGCTGGAGACTCTGGAGAGGTGGAACACTCTGTTTTTTGTAGGGCCTGAACTCTGGGCCTGGGAGCTGTCCCTCAGCTCTTCAGCTCAAAGCTAGCACTCTACTACTTGAGCCACAGCGCCACTTCCAGGTTTTTCTTTGTATGTGGTGCTGAGAGATCAAACCCAGGGCCTCATGCATGCAAGCCAAACACTCTACCACTGAGCTACCATCTCAGCCAGGAGTGCTCTGTTCTAAGGACACCCCTGTTGCAAGTTAGGGACCCCAGGTAAAGCTACAGGGTGTCAATGCAGCCCCGGTGACTCCTTTGTTTTGGAAGTGCTTGGGTTTGAACACGGGGCCTTGGGCTTTGGCTGGTGCTCTGCCACTTGATCTATGCTTCCAGCCTTGCAAAAAGCTGGTTTTAGCTAGGCACTGGGGTCTCATGCCTGGCATCCTAGCTACTCAGGAGGCTAAGATCTGAGGATCGCGGTTCAAAGCCAGCCTGGGAAGGAAAGTCTGTGAGACTCTTATCTCCAATAAACCACCAGAAAATTGGAAGTGGCACTGTGGCTTAAGTGGTAGAGTGCTAGCCTTGAACAAAAAGAACCCAAGGACAGAGCCCAGGCTCTGAGTTCAAGCCTCATAACTGACAAAAAACAACAAGAAGAAGCTGGTTACTTTGGAAATGGAATCTAGTGGACTTTTCTTTCTTTCTTTCTTTCTTTTTTTTTTTTTTGTCGGTTGTGGGGCTTGAATTCAGGGCCTGGGCACTGTCCCTCAGCTCTTCATCTCAAGGCTTGTGTACTACCACTTGAGCCACAGCACCACTTCCAGTTTTCTGGTGGTTCATTGGAGATAAGAGTCTCACAGACTTTTCTGCCTGGTCTGGCTTTGAACCGAGATCCTCAGATCTCAGCCTCCTGAGTAGCTAGGATGACAGGTGTGATCTGCTGGCCCCTGGCGAGCACCAGTCTTGAATGAGAAAGCCAAAGGACAGAGCCCAGGTTGTGAGTTCAAGCCCCCAGTACTAGCACACACAAGAAAGGAAGTAACGGAGGGGAGGGGTAGAGAGGGGAGGATGAGAGGTGAGCACTGTCTTGGGATTTCCTTTCAACTGTCATGGAAGGATCATTTTTGGCACAAAGGGTAAGCTGACAGCTGAGGGCTGCAGTCCGGGCTGGCGGGCGGGGCAGCGAAGGCAGTTGGGAGTCCCTGCTGGGCAGGTGAGGGATGGGGCAGGGCTGGACTCTCAGGCTGACAACCTCCACTTCCTCCTCCTCCCCTTCCTGTGCCAGTGCTGGCCCCACCAGTGGCCGGCAGAGGGAAAATCCTTGAGTTGAAAGTCCAGCAGTTGCAGGCAGGAAACTTGGGGCTCTTGTGTCCCCCACAGCATCTGGACAAATGGCCAGGACCGGTGGGGGCCCCGGGAGAGGCCCCTGGGAGAGCTTGGTGCTACTGGTGAGTTCTCCCTACCCAGGGCAGAGCCCGGGTCCCCAGGGAGGGAGGGACTGGGCACAGAACCCATACTCTTGGGGACTAAGGGACACAGCCACTGAGCCAGGACCCAGAGGCAAGGCTGGCTGTGCCCTGGGGAAGGAAGGAGGAATATGGAGCTGGACCAGGTTGGGGGTACGCTGTTGTCTAGGGTGGAAGGCAAGGCACCAGGCTCCTGCTCAGGTGTGGCACAGACCTAGACCCCAGCCTTCTCCCTTAGACCCTGGAGGCTAGATACCAGCCCTCCTCCCTCAGACCTAGAGTCCAGACCTCAGCCTACTGCCTTAGACCCAGGGTTCCGGGCCCCAGCCTCCTTCCTCAGACCAAACCCAGCCTCCTCCCTCAGACCCAGAGATCCAGATCCCATCCCTCCAATCTCCATCTGTACCAAGACTGTGTGTTTGTTTTCTTCCCCTCTTCCTCCCTACCCCCATCTTCCAAGGCTGCATTTTTTGAGAAAGGGAACTGATGCTGTTCATCTCTTGCTTGAGCAGAGGAGCCAAGCTTAGCTCCAAAGCCCAGGGAACTCCGCCCCAGGACTCATGCCCTGCTTCCCCATCAAGAGAGTGACCTTTGTCAGAGCTTAACTCCCACTTATCTCTTGTCAGGGGTGATGGGGGAGAGGAGGGAGGAGGAGGGTCAGGGCGGAGGCTAGGGCAGCCCCACAGCTTACTCAGTGTCTAAAGCCTTCCATTCCCTCCAGGGTCTGTGCAGTTGGATGGCGATCGCCAGGGGAGATGGTGAGTGACCTACCTGCCTTGGCCGTATGCACACAGAGTCGCACATACAAGTCTCACTGAGGCAAGGTGGTTGCCGGGAGGCTTACCAGAAGTGGGGAATTCTTTTCTTTTCTTTTTTGGGTGAGGACTGAGACTTGAATTCAGGACCTGGAGCTCAGGCCCATTGTTTTTATTTTTCTCAAGGCTGGTGCTCTACCACTTGAGCCACAGCGCTATTTCTGGCTTTTTTTTTTTTTTTTTTTTTTGCTGGTGAACTGAGGCTAGAAGCCTTCTGAACTTTCCTGCCTGGGCTGGCTTTGAATCCTGAATCTTCAGATATCAGCTTCCTGAGACCAGGATTATAGGCAGGAGCCACTGGCACCTGGGTACTGTGTTTTTGTTACTTATTTTGGAGATGGAGTCTGGTTAGACTTTTCCATCTAAGCTGGCATGTACTGTAAACCCCAGCTTGCAGCTCCTGAGTAGATAGGACTACAGGTATAAGCCCTCGGCCCCCAGCTACATTTCCACTTTTACATCAGCTATATCACAATAAGGGAACAGAACCAGGGCTAATGGATCACACACAGTATTTCATGTAGGCCAGCAGCTCCAGACACTGCCCTTTAGCAAGCCACCAATATGAAAGGAGAAATGGGCCTGGGCATCCTAACTTCATGCCAGCCCTGCCCAACTGTGAGTGGCCCCACATCACCAAAGGTACTCCTCACCTCACACCAGAAGCTCCACGTTCTGGTGGAACTGGGGCCACCATGCTGGATGTGTGGCCTCGGCGTCCACCTCCACCCTCTTATGCCAGGCTCTGGGAAGGGCTGCAGAACTTGGGCACTGGGCACCACTGCTCACCCCTCTTCCTCTCTTCTTCCTCACCGCCAGCCCCAGACCCAGTGAGAAACCTGAACTTGGAAGGACAGAATAGCAGCTCCATCACCCTGGGCTGGGCTGGCCCTGAGGGCGCGGACGCCCACAACCTCACCTACTGGGCCCAGTGCACTGGAGATGGAGACAGGACTGAGACTCGAAACACAACAGATACCTGGGTCACCGTGGATGGACTTGAACCTGGGTCTTCCTATGTGTGTTCTGTGTGGGTGGAGAAAGATGGAGTCGTGAGCTCCAGGGAGAACCTCACTGTCTCCACAGGTGAGAGGCGGCTGCTCCTCCCTCCTTTCCTTCCCTCTCATCCCATATCCTCTTCCCTTTTCCTGCTTCCTTTCCCCCTTTCTTCCTCCATACCTTCTTCTCCTCCCCTGTCATTTCCTTCTTTTCTTTCTCTTTCCCTTCCTCTTCCTCCATCCTCTTTGCTTCTCTTCATTTCTTCTTTTCCCTCCTTCCCTCCTTCCTTCATCTCTCCTTTCCATCCTTCCTTTTACTCCATTTTCCTCTCTCCACCTTTGATCTTTCCTTCTATTCCCTTCCCCTTCTCCTCTCCTCCCCTCTTCTCTTCTTTTTGTACTCCCTCCCTCATTCCCTTCCTCCCTCCCTCCCTTTCTCTCTCTCACTCTTTCTTTCTTTCTTTTTCTTCTTTCCTTCCTTCTTCTTCCTTCCTTCATTTCTTTCTTTTTTTTCTTTTTGTTTGTTCAAACCAGGACTTGAACTTGGTATTTGACACTTTCAATCATTGGCTCATGCTCTACCAAAGGAACCACGCTTCTGTTTTCTTCTCCTCTTCATTCTTTTTTTTTTTTTAAATTTAATTTAATTTTATTTGTGAACATACTGTACAGAGGAGTTACAGTTACATGGGCAGGATAATGCGTACATTTCTTACCAAGCATTGCAGCCTCCTCCTTTGTTTACCCTTCACATCCCTTCCCAGCCTCCCCCCTCCCCCCCTAATCCCAATCCTTCTCCTCCCCCCCCCCCCCCCCACACCAACGTTGTAAAGCTCGTTTTGGACATGACAACTTTCCTCTTCATTCTTTTCTTTGTCTTTCTTTCCCTTTCATTTCCTTTCTGTCCCTTTCCCTTCCTCATTTTTTTCTTTTCCTTTCCTTTTTCCCCTTGGTCCTGGGGCTTGAACTCAGGGCCTGGGCACTGTCCCTGAGCTTCTTTTGCTCAAGGCTAGGGCTCTACCACTTAAGCCATAGTGCTATTCCCAGCTTTTTCTGAGTAGTTTATTGGATATAAGAGTCTCACAGACTTTCCTGCTGAGGCTGGCTGTGAACCACCATCCTCAGATATCAGCCTCCTGAGTAGCTATGATTACAGGTGTGAGCCTCTGACGCCTTACCTCCCTTCCTCTTCCTCTTTGCTTTCTTTCTTTCTTTTTTTTTTTTGGTACGGTCGTGGAGCTTGAACTCTGGGCCTGGGCGCTGTCCCTCAGCTCTTCAGCTCAAGGCTAGTGCTTTACCACTTGAGCCATAATGCCACTTCCGGCTTTTTCCTTTTTGCTTATGTGGTGCTGAGGAATCGAACCCAGGGGCTCGAGCATGCGAGGCAAGCGCTCTACCTGAGCCACCTTCCCAGCCCCTCTCTTTGCTTTCTTTCCTTTCCCTTGGAATAGGGCAGGCTATGTAGCCAGTCTAGCCTGGGTCTCCCTGCCTCCTGAAGCACGGAGATTGCAGGTATGCAATAGCATTCTGGGTCTTCTATTCTTCATTTATTAAAGAGAGGAGGTGGAGGGAGGCTGGGAGCTGGTTAGCCAGGGGCAGATTCTGTGACCCAAAGAAAGATGGACCCATGACTCATGGAAGACACGGATTTTAACTGACTTTTCTTATCCGCTGTATCAGAATAGATGGAGTAAAGCAAGCATGTTTCACAGATTATTTTGCAGTATTTTGGTAGCCCTGCATTGACAAACACTGCCCTTTAGTGTGCAATCAACATGATTGGAGCAATGGGACTGGACAACCTAACTTCGTTTGCCCCTGCCCAGCTCCGTGAGTGGCCCCATATCCCCAAAGCTACCCCTGGCCTCACACCAGGAGCTCCACATTCTGGTGCAACTGGAGCTGCCATGTTGGATGTGCGGCCTCAGTGTCCACCTCCACCCTCTGAGTGCCAGGCTCTGGGAAGAGCTGCAGAACTTGGGCACCAGGCACCACTGCTCACCCTTCTTCCTCTCTTCCTCTCCCACTTCCAGCCCCAGACCCAGTGAGAAACCTGAGCTTGGAAAGGCAGAGCAGCAGCTCCATCACCCTGGGCTGGGCTGGCCCTGAGGGCGCGGACACCCACAACCTCACCTACTGGGCCCAGTGCACTGGAGATGGAGACAGGACTGAGACTCGAAACACAACAGACACCTGGGTCACCGTGGATGGACTTGAACCTGGGTCTTCCTATGTGTGTTCTGTGTGGGTGGAGAAAGATGGAGTCGTGAGCTCCAGGGAGAACCTCACTGTCTCCACAGGTGAGAGGCGGCTGCTCCTTTGTCCTTTCTTTCTTTTCAAATATGCTACATCTTTGTCTCTAGCTCCCTCTCTGTCTGTCTCTTTCTCTCAACAGTGTCAGGCTATGTAGCTGTCAGGCTGGAATTCAGTCCTCTTGCCTCAGCTTCCTGAGGGCTGGAATTACAGGTGTTTTGTCCTTTGTTTCTGGGAAGTGGTAGGAAGTGAGTGGGAAACTGAGGGGAGAGGTGATAGGTTGTGTGATGCATCAGAAATAAAATGGAACCTACACACCTAAATTTTCTTTTTCTTTCTTTCATTTATCTTCTTCTTTTTTTTTTTTTTCTTCAGTCATGGGGCTTGAACTCTGGGCCAGGGCGCTGTCCCTGAGCTCTTCAACTCAAGGCGAGCGCTCTACCACTTGAGCTCCAGCACCACTTCTGGTTTCTGGTGGTTAGTTGGAGATGAGAGTCTCATGGACTTTCCTTGCCTGGGCTGGTTTTGAACAATGATCCTCAGATCTCAGCCTCCTGAGTAGCTAGGATTACAGGTATGAGCCACTGGTGCCCAGCAAGCACAAACTAAAGTTTCTTTTTCTATCACTTTCTATCAAAATAGAAAGAAAGAAGCTGGGTACCAGTGGCTTACACATAATTCTAGCTACTTAGGAGGCTGAGATCTGATGACTGGGATTTGAAGCCAGCCCGGGCAGCAAAGTCTATGAGACTCTTATTTCTAACTGACTACCAAAAGTGTAGAAGTTGAGCCATAGCTCAAGTGGCAGAGCATCAGCCTTGAGCAGGAAAGTCCCAGGAACAGCACAAAAGGACACATAAAAATAAAACAGAAGGAAAGTAGGGGAAAGGCTAGGGATGTGGCTCAAGTGAGAGAGGCCCTGCCCTGTGCCTTCCAGAACCTGAGTTCAGGGGATGGGAAGGTGGCTCAGTGGTAGAGCGCTTGCCTTGTATGCATGAGGCCCTGGGTTGGATTCCTCAGCACCACATTAGCAAAAAGAAAAAAAGCCGGAAGTGGCGCTGTGGCTCAAGTGGTAGAGCGCTAGCCTTGAGCTGAAGAGCTGAGGGGCAGCACCCAGGCCCAGAGTTCCGGCCCACGACCGGACCCAAAAAAAAAAAAGAGAACCTGAGTTCAAAGTCAATACCAACAGAGAAGTTGACATAGAAGCAGATGGAATGCATTATTATGGGATAAGTTATGTCATTCCAGCAGGTCCAAACACTGCCCTTTAGTGTGCAATCAACATGAACAGAGCAATGGGCCTGGACATCCTAATTTCCTGCTGGCCCTGCCCAGCTCTGTGGGTGGCCCTACATTCCCAAAGCTACCCCTTGCCTCACCCCAGGAGCTCCAGGTTTCTGATGGAACTGGGGGCGCCATGCTGGATGTGTAGCCTCAGCATCTACCTCCACCCTCTGTGTGCCAGGCTCTGGGAAGGGCTGCAGAACTTGGGCACTGGGCACCACTGTTCACTCCTCTTCCTTTCTTCCTCCCCACTTCCAGCCCCAGACCCAGTGAGAAACCTGAGCTTGGAAGGGCAGAACAGCAGCTCCATCACCCTGGGCTGGGCTGGCCCTGAGGGCGCGGACACCCACAGCCTCACCTACTGGGCCCAGTGCACTGGAGATGGAGACAAGACTGAGACTCGAAACACAACAGACACCTGGGTCACCGTGGATGGACTTGAACCTGGGTCTTCCTATGTGTGTTCTGTGTGGGTGGAGAAAGATGGAGTCGTGAGCTCCAGGGAGAACCTCACTGTCTCCACAGGTGAGAGGCGGCTGCTCCTCCCTCCTTTCCTTCCCTCTCATCCCATATCCTCTTCCCTTTTCCTGCTTCCTTTCCCCCTTTCTTCCTCCATACCTTCTTCTCCTCCCCTGTCATTTCTTTCTTTTCTTTCTCTTTCCCTTCCTCTTCCTCCATCCTGTTTCTTTTCATTTCTTTTCTCGCCTTCCCTCCTTCCTTTATCTCTCCTTTCCATCCTTCTTTTTTCTGCATTTTCCTTTCTCCACCTTTGATCTTCCCTCTCCATTCCCTTCCCCTCTTCTTTTCTTTTTGTCCTCCCTCCCTCTTTCTTTCCTGTTGTCCCTTAATCTCTCTCTCTCCTTCCCTCCCTCTCTCCTTCCTTCCTTTCTTTCTTTCTTTTTATTTCTTCCTTTCTTTCTTTTCTGTCTGTCTTTCTTTTTGTTGGTTCAAACCAGGACTTGAACTCAGTATTTGACACTTTCAATCATTGGCTCATGCTCTACCAAAGGAAGCACGCTTCTGTTTTCTTCTCCTCTTCATTCCTTTCTTTGACTTTTTTTCCTTTTCCTTTCCTTTCTGTCCCTTTCCTTCCTCATTTTTTTCTTTTTCTTTCTTTTTTCCCCTTAGTCCTTGGGCTTGAACTCTGTTCCTGAGCCCTGTCCTTCAGCTCTTCAGCTCAAGGCTAGTGCTCTACCACTTGAGCTACAGCTCCACTCCGGTTTTCTGGTGGGTTATTGGATATAAGATTTACATAGGGGCTGGGAAGGTGGCTCAGTGGTAGAGTGCTTGCCTTGCATGCATGAGGCCCTGGGTTCGATTCATCAGCACCACATAAGCAAAAAGAAAAAAGCTGGAAGTGGTGCTGTGGCTCAAGTGTCGTAGAGTGCTAGCCTTGAGCTGAAGAGCTGAGGGACAGCGCCCAGGCCCAGAGTTCAGGCCCCACAACTGGACACCCCCCCCCCAAAAAAAAAGATTTACATGGACTTTCTTGCCCGGGCTGGCTTTGAACCGTGATCCTCAGATCTCATCCTCCTGAGCAGCTAGGATTACAGGTGTGAGCCACCATTGCCTGGCTTCCCTTCCTCATTTTTTTTCCTCTTTCTTTCTTTCTTTTTTTCCCTTGGTCCTGGTGCTTGAACTCAGGCCCTGGGCACCGTTCCTAAGCTTCTTTTGCTCAAGGCTAGGGCTCTACCACTTAAGCCATAGTGATATTCCCAGCTTTTTCTGAGTAGTTTATTGAAGATAAGAGCCTCAAATGACCTGGGAAGGTGGCTCAGTGGTAGAGTGCTTGCCTTGTGTGCATGAGGCCATGGGTTCCATTCCTCATCACCACATAAGCTGGAAAAGCTGGAAGTGGGCACTCTGGCTCAAGTGGTAGAGTACTAGCCTTGAGCTGAAGGGCTGAGGGACAGTTCTTGGGCCCAGAGTTCACGCTCCATGACAAACAACAACAACAAAAAGTTTTAAAGACTTTCCTGCTGTGGCTGACTTTCCTGCAGCACCATCCTCAGATCTCAGCCTCCTGAGTAGCTATGATTACAGGTGTGAGCCACTGACACCCAGCCTCACTTCCTCTTCCTATTTGCTTTCTTTTCTTTCTCTTGGAACAGGACAGGCTATGTAGCCAGTTTAGCTTGGGTCTCCCTGTCCTCCTGAAGCATGGAGATTGCAGGTGTGTACTAGTATACTGGGCCTTCTATTCTTTGTTTATTTTATTTATTTGTTTGTTTATTTTCTCAGTTGAGGAGCCTGAACTCTGGGCCTGGACACTCTCCCGCAGTTCTTAAACTCAAGGCTAGCACCTTATCACTTGAGCCATAACACCACTTCCAGCTTTTTCTGCTTACATAGTGCTGAGGCATAGAACCCAGGGCCTCATGTATGCTAGGCAAGCACTCTACCACTCAGCTACCTTCCCAAACCCTATTCTTTGCTTATTAAAGAGAGGCTGGGAGCTGGCTGGCAGGGGACAAGTTCTGTGATCCAAAGAAAGATCTCTCGATCATGGAAACCACACTTTTTAATTGACTTTTCTTATCTGCTGTATCAGAATAGATGGAGCAAAACCAGAACGTTTAACATATTGTCTCACGGTATTTCTGTTAGCCCTGCAGCTCCAAATACTGCCCTTTAGCAAGCCATCAATAAAAAAGAGCAATGAGACTGGACAACCTAACTTTGTTTGGCCCTGCCCAGCTCCGTGGGTGGCCCCATATCCCCAAAGCTACCCCTGGCCTCACACCAGGAGCTCCACATTCTGGTGCAACTGGAGCTGCCATGTTGGATGTGCGGCCTCAGTGTCCACCTCCACCCTCTGAGTGCCAGGCTCTGGGAAGAGCTGCAGAACTTGGGCACCAGGCACCACTGCTCACCCTTCTTCCTCTCTTCCTCTCCCACTTCCAGCCCCAGACCCAGTGAGAAACCTGAGCTTGGAAAGGCAGAACAGCAGCTCCATCACCCTGGGCTGGGCTGGCCCTGAGGGCGCGGACACCCACAACCTCACCTACTGGGCCCAGTGCACTGGAGATGGAGACAGGACTGAGACTCGAAACACAACAGACACCTGGGTCACCGTGGATGGACTTGAACCTGGGTCTTCCTATGTGTGTTCTGTGTGGGTGGAGAAAGATGGAGTCGTGAGCTCCAGGGAGAACCTCACTGTCTCCACAGGTGAGAGGCGGCTGCTCCTTTGTCCTTTCTTTCTTTTCAAATATGCTACATCTTTGTCTCTAGCTCCCTCTCTGTCTCTCTCTCTTTCTCTCAACAGTGTCAGGCTATGTAGCTGTCAGGCTGGAATTCAGTCCTCTTGCCTCAGCTTCCTGAGGGCTGGAATTACAGGTGTTTTGTCCTTTGTTTCTGGGAGGTGGTAGGAAGTGAGTGGGAAACTGAGGGGAGAGGTGATAGGTTGTGTGATGCATCAGAAATAAAATGGAACCTACACACCTAAATTTTCTTTTTCTTTCTTTCATTTATCTTCTTCTTTTTTTTTTTTTTCTTCAGTCATGGGGCTTGAACTCTGGGCCAGGGCGCTGTCCCTGAGCTCTTCAACTCAAGGCGAGCGCTCTACCACTTGAGCTCCAGCACCACTTCTGGTTTCTGGTGGCTAGTTGGAGATGAGAGTCTCATGGACTTTCCTTGCCTGGGCTGGTTTTGAACAATGATCCTCAGATCTCAGCCTCCTGAGTAGCTAGGATTGCAGGCATGAGCCACTGGTGCCCAGCAAGCACAAACTAAAGTTTTTTTTTTTTTTTTTATCACTTTCTATCAAAATAGAAGGAAAGAGGCTAGGTACCAGTGGCTCACACATAATTCTAGCTACTTAGGAGGCTGAGATCTGATGACTGGGATTTGAAGCCAGCCCGGGCAGCAAAGTCTATGAGACTCATTTCTAACTGACTACCAAAAATGTAGAAGTTGAGCCGTAGCTCAAGTGGCAGAGCATCAGCCTTGAGCAGGAAAGTCCCAGGAACAGCACAAAAGGACACATAAAAATAAAACAGAAGGAAAGTAGGGGAAAGGCTAGGGATGTGGCTCAAGTGAGAGAGGCCCTGCCCTATGCCTTCAAGAACCTAAGTTCAAAGTCAATACCAACAGAGAAGTTGACATAGAAACAGATGGAATGCATTATTATGGGATAAGTTATGTTGTCCAGCAGTTCCAAACACTGCCCTTTAGTGTGCAATCAACATGAACAGAGCAATGGGCCTGGACATCCTAACTTCCTGCTGGCCCTGCCCAGCTCTGTGGGTGGCTCTACATCCCCAAAGCTACCCCTTGCCTCACCCCAGGAGCTCCAGGTTTCTGATGGAACTGGGGGCGCCATGCTGGATGTGTAGCCTCAGCGTCTACCTCCACCCTCTGTGTGCCAGGCTCTGGGAAGGGCTGCAGAACTTGGGCACTGGGCACCACCATTCACCCTCTTCGTTTCTTCCTCCCTACTTCCAGCCCCAGACCCAGTGAGAAACCTGAGCTTGGAAGGGCAGAACAGCAGCTCCATCACCCTAGGCTGGGCTGGCCTGGAGGGTGTGGACACCCACAGCCTCACCTACTGGGCCCAGTGCACTGGAGATGGAGACAGGACTGAGACTCAAAACACAACAGACACCTGGGTCACCGTGGATGGACTTGAACCTGGGTCTTCCTATGTGTGTTCTGTGTGGGTGGAGAAAGATGGAGTCGTGAGCTCCAGGGAGAACCTCACTGTCTCCACAGGTGAGAGGCGGCTGCTCCTCCCTCCTTTCCTTCCCTCTCATCCCATATCCTCTTCCCTTTTCCTGTTTCCTTTCCCCCTTTCTTCCTCCATACCTTCTTCTCCTCCCCTGTCATTTCCATCTTTTCTCTTTCCCTTCTTCTTTCTCTCTCCTCTTGTGTCTCTTCATTTCTCTCCTTCTTTTATCTCTCCTTTCTTTCCTTCATCTTTCTCCTTTTTTCTCTCTCCACCTTCCCTTCTTCCCTTCTTCTTCTCCTCTTTCTGCCTTTTCTTTTATCTGGTCCAAAGCCAGTCTTGAACTCAGTACTTGTTACTTTCAGTCATTGGTTAGTCCTCTACCAATGGAGACAGGCCTCTCTTTTCCTTTGTTCTTCCTTTTTGTTCTTTTCTTTTCTCTTTGTTTTGTTGGTCATGGGGCTTTAACTCTGTGCTTGGGTGCTGTCCCTGAGTTCAAAGCAAGCACTCTACCACTTTAACCGCAGTACCACTTCCGGTTTTCTGCTGGTTTATTAGAGATAAGAGTCTCATGGTCCCCCCCCCCCCCCCAGCCACCCCCCCCCCACCCCCGGCCAGCTTGAACCTTGATCCTCAGATCTCAACTTCCTGAGTAGCTAGTATTACCGGTGTGGTCCACGGGTGCCTGGTTCCCTGAGCTTTTTGTTCAAGGTTAGTCTTCTAACACTTGAGCTAGAGCACCACTTCCAGTTTTCTGGTGGTTAATTGGAGATGAGCCTTAGGGCCTTTCCTACCTGTCTTTGAATTGTGATCTTAGTCATCTGAATAGCTAGGATTGAAGGTGTGAGCCACCAGCACCTGGCTTTTTTTTTTTTTGGTCTTTGGAAATGGGTTCTTTTGGTTCAGGGAGGAGTTGGTCCCCCCTCTCAGGAACCTGGAAGCCTGGATTCCTGGACCTTGGGCGGCTGAGGAAACTACAATGTACAACAATCTTCTACCACCTTGGTGTGTCTAGGGTAAAAAAGAATTCTGGCCCTGGGTGGCCCTGGGAGATGAAGATAGTCAGACTTTGAGCTGAGTGGACTACAAATCCCATGATGCCATGATGGGGGTCAGGCCTTTGTGAAATTGTTGATACAGAGAGTCCATGGCTTCATGGGGGTTGTAGTCTGGGGGGGACTTGTATCTATGCCGGCAGAGGAAGAAAGGGATGACCTGAGACCTAGCACTAGAGCCAGGGGACAGAGTGAACTCTTCTTATTCTGATCTCCACTAGACCTTGAGCTCCCCTTCTCTCCCCTTTCCTCCCCTCCCCTCTCCTCTCTCTGTTCTCTCCTCTTCTGGGACTGGGGCTTAAACTCAAGGCTCTCACATGCTTGTTTAGCTTTTTCCATTCAAAGTTGGTACTCTTACCATTTAAGGCATACTTCCACTTCTAATTTTTTGCTGGTTAATTGGTAATAAGAAGCTCTTGGCTTTGTCTGCCCTGTGAACTACGATTGCCAGATATACCTACTGAGTAACTAGGATTCTAGGCATGAGCTGTGGGTTCTTGGCATCTCCCTTGGGTTTGCTGGTTCTTCTTGGGGCTCCTGCCTCTGTTGCTAGAGCAGAGATAAGTGGGGCATGGTGGCCTTGCTGTTGGGGTGTGGGGACTGGTGGTTCTTTGAGGACACACCCTCTTAGAGCTCTGTCCTTGCTTTGCAGCCCCCAGTGAGGTCACACTGCTGCAGAAGGAAGGTCAGACCAATCACTCGGTGACCCTGAGGTGGGAGGCCCCTGTGGACCCCCACTCCCAGCTCTACACCTACTGGATTCACTGGGCTGGTCAAGAAAACCCTCCCAGGACGCAAGAGCCCCAGGGGCCCTGGGGCAGCTCAACAGGCAGGACCAATGACACCTGGTATGTGGCAGATGCCCTCATGCCTGGCACTTGGTACAACTTCAGTGTGTGGGCAGAGAGAAATGGCATTTTCAGTTCCACGAAGAGCCTCCAGGCTCCCACAGGTGAGAGACCCCACCCCGCCCATCCCTGGTAACTGGGCCAACATCAGACCTGCAGGGACAGGAGGCAGGGGTAGACCACAGAGGGCATCAGGTCCCAGGGTTTCCTCTTCTTAGGCTGTGGTCACAGAGGCCAGGGGGCCAGGGGACTGCTCTGAGGCTTGGCAGGACAGGCGGGATGGGGTGGCTAGGGGACCTTCAAAGGCACCTGCCGACCCCGCTGCCTCCTTCACCAGCCCCCGATGCCGCCACCATCATCTCCTGCCTGAGCACCTCAGGAGGCTACGCCATGGTTGTGACCTGGTCCTGTCCCACTGGGGGCTACGAGGCCTTTGAGTTGGAGGTGGGTGGGCATCGGGCCTCCCAGGACCGGTCTTCGTGTGGGAAGGGCGTGACTGTGTCAGGTCTTGGGCCGGCTCAGTCCTACCCCACCACTGTCACCACCACCTGGAGTGGATTAAGGGCCCAATCTGCCCCTCTCACCTGCTACACAGAGCGTGCAGGTGAGCAGAGAACCTTCCTGTGTGAGTCCATGGGGCTGTCTGTCTTTGGTTTTCTGTTTTTTCTTTTCTTTTCCCTCCCCCCATTCCCTCCTCCCTCCCCCCTCCCTCCCTTCCTTCCTTCCTTCCTTGCTTTTGTCTGTCCAGGGCCTGGGCACTGTCCCCCAGCCTCTTTGTGGTCAAGGCTAGTGTGCTACCACTTGAGCCACAACACTACTTCCTGCTTTTTCTGAGTAGTTTATTGGAGATAAGCGTCTCATGGACTTTTCTGCCGGGCTGGCTTTGACATATGATCCTCAGATCTCAGCCTCCTCAGTAGCTAGGGTTTCAAGCATGAGCCACCGATGCCCAGCACAAGACACCCACTTAAACATACGATGCAGCCAGGCGCCAGTGTCTTCCACCAATAATCCTAACTGCTCAGGAGGCTGAGATCAGAGGATTGCAATTCAAAACCAGCCTGGATACGAAAGTCTATGAGACTCTTGTCTCCAATTAGCCAGCAAAATAATCAGAAGTGGAGCTGTGGCTCAAGTGGTAGAGTGGCAGCCTTGAATGAAAAAGCTAAGGGATTGTGCCTAGGCTGTGAGTTCAAGTCTCAGTACTGGGAAGATAAATAAAGACCTGGGTTCTTAAGGGCTTCCTATGCCTCCTCCCAGGGGTCATTGCGGGAGCCATTGTGGGTGTCCTCCTGTTTCTCATCCTGGTAGGCCTCCTGATTTTCTTCTTGAGGAAGAGGTGAGACTCATTGCAGGCCTGCCTCCTGGAGGCTGCCGCCGGCAGGGAGAGGGGAGGACCTCTGGTCCCAGCCTTATGCTCTGAGCCTTATGTCCCAGAATCCTTTTCCCCTCCAGGAATCAGAAGCAGCAGCAGAAGGTGGTCCCCAAGGATCTTATGTTCAGGTGAGCAGAGGCTCTGGGAAAAACGTCCGAAACACTGTGTCAGGCCCATCAGGGGTCATCTATCAAAGGGCAGGGCCTGCGGACTTATCCATGGGGGCCTCAGAAGGGACTACGGACCTCTGTGACAGGCCCTGAGTTCAAGGCCCAGGACTAGTGTCCAGGCCCTGAGTTCAAGCACACACACAAAAGGCAAAATAATATAGTCTACGATGTGTCTTTGGAGACCACGAAAGAGGAGAAGACAGAGTGAGTAGAGGGACATTTTTGATAGGTGTTAAAACTGCATGAAGCTGGGCGCCCTGGCTCACACTTGTAATCCTAGCTACTCAGGAGGCTGAGATCTGAGGTCATAGTTGGGGGCCAACCAATGCAGAACAGCTTGTGAGAGTCTTCTCTCCAATTAACCAGCAAAAAAATCTGGACTGGAAGTATGGCTTCAGCAATAGAGCACTGACCAAGTGTGAGGCACAGCAACACACACACACACACACACACACACATAGTCAAATATAGGGAAAGCCTTGGTGACTATAGAGATTTGAAAGCCCTTCTCTTGCAGGTTCAAAGCAAGCCAGTACAAGAAAGTCCATGAGGACTGGGAAGGTGGCTCAGTGGTAGAGCGCTTGCCTTGCATGCATGAGGCCCTGGGTTCGATTCCTCAGCACCACATAAGCAAAAAGAAAAAAGCCGGAAGTGGCGCTGTGGCTCAAGTGGTAGAGCGCTAGCCTTGAGCTGAAGAGCTGAGAGACAGCGCCCAGGCCCAGAGTTCAGGCCCCACGACCGGACCCCCCCCCCCCCAAAAAAAAAAAAAGTTCATGAGACTTATCTCTAATTAAACAGCAAAAAGCCAAAAGTGAAGCTCTGGTTCAAATAGTAGAGCAGCCGGTGGTTCACAGCTATAATCCTAGCTACTCAGGAGGCTGAGATTTGAGGATCACGGTTCAAAGCCAGCCCAGGCAAGAAAGTACATTAGACTCTTATCTCTAATGATACACCAGAAAAACTGTAAGTGGCACTGTGGCTCAAGTGGTAGAGCACTCACCTTGAGCTGAAGACCTCAGGGACAATGCCCAAACCCAGAGTTCAAGTCCCACGACAAAAAAAAAAAAAAGAGTAGCTTTGACCAAAATAGCTAAAGGACAGCACTCAAGGCCTGAATTCAAGCCCTGGTACTGACACACACAGAAAGAAAAAAGTGGAATTGTATATTAGTTGTCTTTTTTTGGGTGGGGAGGAGTCTGGCTTACTTCTCAACACAGTGTCCTCAAATTTACTTATGCTGCAGCGTGTGTCAGACTCACTTTAAGGCTGTATACTATTCCATTGTGTTTGAGTCCATAGAACACTTGGTTGCCATGAGTGTGGTAACCTCCCTTCAAGCCTCGGTCTTCCTTTCTTTTGGGTTTGTGCCCAGAAGTGGCATTGCTAGATGGCAGTCATCTCTTCTTTTACACCCAAAGCACTGCATGTCGGCAGGTTGACATCTTCTCCTTTCCTTCTCCCTACCACAGCTCCCCAGGGGACATCCTGGCCAAAGACTTTGCTGACCACGTTAGGAAAAATGAGAAGGACAGCAGCTATGGATTTGCAGAGGAGTACCAGGTCCGGGCACCAGAGAAGGGGTGGAGCTCTGCACAGCCCTGCCCCTGCCCCACCAAACCCCCTCACCCCTTGGGTTAAGCAAAAGCAGTAAACCTTCATTCCTGAGCTGCGCCAGGGAACCAGGGGTCTAGCATTCAGCAGTCAAGCCCTCTATGGCTGGGCCGTATTCCAGCTCAGACTGGCTAGCTTTGTACTTGCTGTATCTATAGCTCAGGCTGGCTTCAGACTCATGATCTCCCTTGCTTCTGCCTCCGCTTGCTGCAGTAAGAGTTGTGCTAGGATCTGCTCAGTTCTAGAGAATTCCTTGGACGTGCTTATCTTTTCAACTATTGGTGTGTGTGTGTGTGTTGCTGAGGTTTGAACTCAGGGCCTCCTGCTAGCTAGGCAGCACTGCATCGCTGGAGTCATACCTCTCCCCCTTTTACTTGGGTGCTATTGTGGGTCTTGTTTTCTTTCTGGGGCCTTCCTGGACCACAGCCCTCCTCCTTGCACTTCCCATCATAGCCAGGATGGCAGGTACCTGCCACATAACTCACTCTGCTTTTTGGTGTTTGTTTGGTCAGTTGTGGGGCTTGAATTTGGGGCCTGGGTGCTGTCCCCGAGGCTCTTTGTGCTCAAGGTTAGCACTCTACTATGAGAGCCATAATGCCATTTCTAGTTTTTGAGTGGTTTAGTTGGAGATAAGAGGCTCACAGCAGTTTTCTGCCCAACCTGGCTTCAAACTGTGATCCTCAGATCTCAGCCTCCTGAATAGCTAGGATTAGTGGTGTGGGCACCAGTGCTCCGCTTTTTCGCTTTTTTTTTTTTTTTTTGGTCGGTCGTGGGGCCTCAACTCTGGGCCTGGGCACTGTCCCTCAGCTCTTCAGCTCAAGGCAAGTGCTCTACCACTTTGGCCACAGCGCCACTTCTGGCTTTTTCTGCTTATGTGATGCTGAGGAATTGAACCCAGGGCCTCATGCATGCAAGGCAAGCACTGTACCACTGAGCCACCTTCCCAGCTCCCTCCCCTTTTTTTCCTGTTGAGGTGTGTGTGTGTGTGTGTGTGTGTGTGTGTGTGTGGCATCTCATGAACTTTCTGCCCAGCCTGGCCTTGAACTGAAATTCTCTTGATCTTAGGATAATAGGCATGATCTACTGCACCTGGCTCTTTAGTTATTTTTATTTTATTCTTTTTGTCGGTCATGGGGCTTGAACTCTAGGTCTGGGTGCTATCACTCAGCTCTTCAGCTCAAGGTGAGCACTCTACCACTTGAGCCACAGCACCACTCCTGGTTTTCTGGTGGTTCATTGGAGATAAGAGTCTCATGGACTTCCCTGCCCAGGCTGGCTTTGAATCACAATTCTCAGATCTCAACCTCCTGAGTAGCTGGGGTTACAGGCGTGAGCCACTGACACCTAACTCTAGGTTGTTTTTAGATAGGACCTCACATGTTTGTCCATGCCTGCCTTGGTCTGAAGCCTCCTTCCCCTGCTTCCCCAGTAGCTGGGATTTCAGGCATAAATGGCCATGCCTAGCCCTCAGCTCACTGACAGCTTAGAACGAGGATAGCTGCTTCCTCCAGTGACTCACACCCACAGGGATGGTCTTTCGTTCTCCTGGCCTCTACCCTCTTGCCTTCCTGAAAAAATCCCCGCATCTCCTGTTAGCCTGTTAGATTCCCTAGGTGAGAGGTGGGTAGCTGCCCAGCATCTGTTGTGTGGGTGCTACAAAATCCCAGGGTATGAAGGGCAAACAGGAGGGGAAGGAGAATTCCAGGGGCACTGCTGGGGAACTCTACAACCCCCTCTTCCCCCCATCTCTGTCCTAGCTATTGGCCCTGGAGGGCCATGGCCAATCTCAGATGGTGGCTTCTGCTCCAGAGAACATGGCCAAAAACCGCTACAGGAATGTGCTGCCCTGTGAGTCCTGGATTTGTGCTGTCTTCATCCCCAGCTCCAATCCTGTCCACCGCCCCCATCCCTGTTCCCCATCCCTGTTCTCCTATGACAGACAAACCCTGGTGTGTGCCCCTGCACACCCCCCCCACCCCCCCCATGGCTTCCAGGGTCTGTCTAGCCTCCCTCCCTGGGTCTCTCTGCCCTGTCTATGTGCACGGCTAAGGCCACGACTTTTTGTGCCTTCTTTTTTCTTTTTTTTTGTCGGTCGTGGGGCTTGAACTCTGGGCCTGGGTGTTGTCCCTCAGCTCTTCAGCTCAAGGCGAGCGCTCTACCACTTGAGCTACAGCGCCACTTCCGGTTTTCTGGTGGTTTATTGGAGATAGGAGTCTCACGGTCTCTCCTTCCCGGGCTGGCTTTGAACCGCGATCCTCAGATCTCAGCCTCCTGAGTAGCTAGGATTACAGGCGTGAGCCACCAGCGCCCGGCTTTTTTGTGCCTTCTTGTAGACGACTGGTCACGGGTACCGCTGCAGCCCCTCCGCAATGAGCCGGGGTCCGATTACATTAACGCCAGCTTCCTGCCGGTGAGCCTGCGAGGGCACCTGGGGGTGGGGGTTGGGAGTTGGGGAGGGGGGAGAGGTCTTCTGTGACAGTCACCCACCAACCCCCTGACTGCCTGCTTGCCTCGACCAGGGTCTCTGGAGTGCCCAGGAGTTCATCGCGGCCCAGGGTCCCCTGCCCCACACTGTGGGTGACTTCTGGCGCCTGGTGTGGGAACAGCAGAGCCACACCCTGGTCATGCTGACCAACTGTGTGGAGTCCAGCCGGGTGAGGAGACCTCTGTCCCAGGGTGGACCTCTGTGTGGAGCGTGACCCTCCCACACACAACCTGCCTCCACTCCCACCCCACTCTCCCAGAGAGGGGCCCTACCCCAGCATGAGCTATGTCCAAAACAGCCCCAGCTGGCCTTCCCAGGGGCTCCTCCACCAGGCTGTCCACTGGTCTGAGAGTAGGAGGGTGGAGGTGAGGTGGGGGAGGAGGGTGTGAGTGTATGCTCAGTCCATCAACTGTTCCTGTGAGAACCATAGACTGGGTCGATCATGGGGGCTTGAACTCTGGGCCTGGGCGCTGTCCCTCAGCTCTTCAGCTCAAGGCGAGCGCTCTACCACTTGAGCCGTAGCACCACTTCTGGTTTTCTGGTGGTTCACTGGAATGAGTCTCATGGACTTTCCTGCCTGGGATGGCTTTGAAATGCAATCTTCAGATCTCAGCCTCCTGGGATTACAGGCATGAGCCACCAGCGCCCAGCTGACTGGGTGATTTATAAAGAAGAGGGGTCTATGTGGCTCAAGGTTCTGAAGGCTTGGAAGTCTAAATACGCACCATAATGTGGCAGAGTATCCCACAGTGATGGAGCAAGCTTGCTCTTTCTCCTCGTCTTCCTCCTCATCCTCTTCCTCCTCCCCCTCCTCTTCCTTCTTCCCCCTTCTCCTTCTGCTTCTGTTTTATTTCCTCTTCTTTCTGTGTGTGTGTGTGTGTGTGTGTGTGTGTGTGTGTGTATGCATGCCAGTCCTGGGACTTGAACTCAGAGCCTGGATGCTATCCCTAAGCATTTTGCACAAGGCTAGCCCTCTACCACCTGACCCACAACTCTACTTCTGATTTTTTTTAGAAGTTTATTTGAGACAAGAGTCTCACAAACAGCTGGGCATGCCTGAAATCCTAGATACTCCCGAGACTAGGATCTGAATATTGCAGTTAAAACCAGCCTGGGCTGGAAAGTCCTTGAGACTCTCATCTTCAATTAACCCCCAGAAAACTGGAAGTAGCGCTGTGGCTTAAAGTGGTAGAGCGCTAGCCTTGAGCAGTAAAGCTCAGGGACAGCACCCAGGCCCTGAGTTTAAGCACCAAGACCATTAAAAAAAAAAAAAAAGTCTCATAGTCTTTCCTGCCCAGGCTGTCTTCGAATTTCAATCTTTGGATCTCAGCCTCCTCAGTAGTGAGGATTACAGGTGTGAGTCACCAGTGCCTGGTTCTCTTCCTTCTCCTCCTCCTGTTTCTCTTTTTCTCCTCCTCCTCCTCCTCCTCTTCTTCCTTCTCCTTCACTTCTTTCTCCTCTTCCTTCTCCTCCTGCTTTTCTCTTCTTCCTTTGTTTCTTCTCCATCTTTTATTTTTTTTAGACAAGGTCTCACTGTGTAGCCCCAGCTGGCTTCTGCCATTCCTTTTGCCTAGCTCCACTCCTCAGTCTGGGGTTGCAGATAGGTAACCCCCTACCCAGTCTCTCCCTCTTTTTTGTTTTTTTTGGGGGGTCCGGTTGTGGGGCCTGAACTCTGGACCTGGGCGCTGTCCCTCAGCTCTTCAGCTCAAGGCTAGCGCTCTACCACTTGAGCCACAGTGGCACTTCCGGCTTTTTTCTTTTTGCTTATGTGGTGCTGAGGAATGGAACCCAGGGCCTCAGGCATGCAAGGCAAGTGCTCTACCACTGAGCCACCTTCCCAGCCCCTCCCTCTTTTTATAAAGCCACAAATACCATCCAAGAGGCTCACGACCTCATCTGATCACTTCCTCAAGGCCCTGCCTTCAAATACCATTGATAGATACCTTTGGGGATAAAGTTTCCAACATGGACATTTGTGCAAGGGTAAGATCGGGCTCAAGATGGATGGGCCCACTTGGCTGGCAGACATCGTACTTAGATGCCCATGGCATGCCATTGTTACAGCATGGTGACGAGACACCCTGTTGTCAGTGCGGGGGAGCCTCCTTGCTCTGAACACAAGAGCCAGGCAGAGGGGCTCCTGGGCTTGACGTCCTGGTTCTACCCCAGGTGAAATGCGAGCATTATTGGCCTCTGGATTCTCAACCCTGTACCCACGGGCTCCTTCGGGTGACACTGCTGAGTGAGGAGGTGACAGAGTCCTGGACGGTGCGAGAGCTGCAGCTCCTCCATGTGAGCACTCACCCCACCCAGAATGCCCTCTGTGAAGTATCTCTACAGTGCATCCTGGGAAACTCACAATTGTCCCTGCAATGCATCCTGGGAAACCCACCATCATCCCTGCTGTGCATCCTGGGAAACCAACCATTAGGTGTAGAAGCCAAACCCCAAAACCTATATGCCCTCCCCTCTCCCTCCAGGTGGAGGAGCAGAAGACTCTATCTGTGCGCCAGTTCCATTACCTGGCCTGGCCAGACCATGGCGTCCCCCACTCCCCAGAGCCTCTGCTGGCCTTCTGGAAGTTGCTCCGTCAGTGGCTGGATGAGACCGTGGAGGGAGGCCCGCCCATTGTGCATTGCAGGTGAGAGTCACTCTTGGGACTCAGAGTCGAGTTAGGTGAGTCCTTGGGGTCCTTCAAGGTAAGTGAAAGGAAGATGGTGAACACAGAAGATATACGGGCTTGAGAAGGGTGCAAGGCACAGAGAACAAGGTCTGACAGAAAGAAAGACTCCAAGGCAGCATGACTTTGGACCTAAGCAGTCCCCACTGAAACCATATCTTGTCCAATGCTGAGGCTCCTGAGTTCCGCAAGACTGCCCCCTCCCCATCAGCCAGGACTCCAGATGTGCCTCCCCTCCACGGCATGACCATGGTCCCCCTTCCTGCCTAGTGCTGGTGTGGGCCGGACAGGCACACTCATCGCCCTGGATGTCCTGCTCCGGCAGCTGGAATGTGAGGGGCTTGTGGGGCCCTTCAGCTTCGTGAGGAGGATGAGAGAGAACCGCCCACTGATGGTGCAGACTGAGGTGATGGGGAGGGCCCCTCTTCACCCCATGCCTCTTCCCCAGGCTGGGAGCTCCAGAAGGCCCAGGGCAGGGAGGGCAGGTGTGGGATCCTGGGCCAGCCCCCTCATGTAGTGCCTCCCTCCAGGCCCAGTATGTGTTCTTGCACCATTGTATCCTGAAGTACCTCCAGCAGTCAGCCCCTCCCTCCCCCCAAAATGAGGCCATGCGGGATAATGGGGCCTGCCTCATCTACCAGAACTCCGAAGCCATCCAGGCCCAGCAGCGGGAGGTCTGAGCTATGGAGGGCGGAGTCTGCCTGTGCTGCCTCAAGCGCCCCATCCCACGAAGAGCCGACTGTGGGTGGGAAGAGGGACTGGGAACTGAAATGCCTGTCTCCCCAGGAGACTGGGTGTGGTGGGCTTTCACCCAGAGTGTGTAGGGGAGCCAGGGCGGGTTCCTGGTTCCTGGGAAGAGCGGGAGGGGGGGAGGGATCTGGGGATTTCTCTCCCGGGCTCAGGGTCCCAAGGAGACAGTCTGGAACTTGGATTCTGAGGAAGGATGGACCCTGGGTTGGAATTCTGGCGACGGGAGGAACAAGGGCAGGTTTTCCTTTCAGAATCGGAGTCGGTCTGCGGTCGCCGTCGGGGTGCGTTTTCTTTCTGTTCCATAATTTATTAAATAATGCCTCTCAGGCAAGGTTTGCTCTAGTGGATCTCTGGGTCTCAAGGGGGAAATTGGGGCGGGAGTGGACTGCTGATCTTGTTTTTTTTTTTGTTGTTGTTGGTCATGGGGTGTGAACTCTGGGCCTGGGTGCTGTCCCTCAGCTCTTCAGCTCAAGGCTAGGGCTGTACCACTTGAGCCACAGTGCCACTTCGGCTTTTTCTGCTTATGTGGTGCTGAGGAATCAAACCCAGGGCCTCATGCATGCAAGGCAAGTGCTCTACCGCTGAGCCACCTTCCCAGCCTCGTGGGCTGCTGATCTTAGGGAACCATGGTTTTGTTTTGTTTTTGTTTTTTACCTGAAAGGCAGGTTTAGTCGGGCACCGGTGGCCCACGCCGGTCATCCTAGCTACTCAGGAGGCTGAGATCTGAGTTTCGAAGTTCGAAGCCAGGCTAGGGGGGCAGAAAAGTCCCCGTGAGATTGTTATCTCCAATCCACTAACTCAAAAAGGCCGGAAGTGGCGCTGTGGTCCAAGTGGTAGAGCGCCCGCCTTGACCACAGAGAGGCACAGGGACGGCGCCCGGGCCCTGAGTTCAAGTCCCAAGACCGGCAAAAAAGAAATGTAGGTTGTATGGGCGCCCCTGGGGGAGAAGGCCGGGGTCCCCGGACGCTGGACTGCGGCGGCTGGGCCCTGGCCTCCGGGCCTCCAGGAGTTCTCCGGGCCAAGCTGCGCGCCCGGAGCCTGCCCGAGTGTGTGGGGAGCGTGGGGCCGCAGAGGAGTCTGTTGGTCCCCGGTGTGCGCCGGAGCCGGGGGGCGGGGCGCGGGGCGCGGGCTTGGCGGGGCGGAGCGCGTTCCCGGGGCGGAGCGCACGCAGCCCAGGCCGGCCCGGAGATCAGCACCCGGGACAGCGCCGGCGCCCACGTGTCGGCGGGGACGGCGAGTCCAGGCTCCCGGGGGTCCCAGCCGGCTTCCCTGCCGCCCCGCAGGTAGGAGCTGCCCAGACCCTCGGCCGAGCCCACCCCTCGGGGACGGGGGGCGGGCGAGGGGAGGGATGCTGGGGAGGGGGGAGGTCGGGATTTAAAGGTGCGAGACAAAGAGACGGGGGTCGGGGGAGGAGGGCGGGGAGGGGGGGACCCCCTCCGACGGAGCCCGCACACTGCGGAGGGCAGCGAGACGCACTCGGGGAGGACGGGCGGGAGGGGGGTCTCCGCGAGGAGCGCGGACGGCCGCGGCTGCGGGTGCCGGAAGCAGGGAGAGGAGGGGGGAGGGGGCGTGCGGGGCCCGGCGGCGGAAGGGTAAGCGCCCCGCCCTCCGCGAGGAGAGGGAGAGGAGGGGGGTTAGCGAGGCTGCGGATGCAGAGCAGCCCCCCCCCGCTCTCATCCGGGGACCCCGCTCGGGGTGAGCAGGGGTCCCAGGCACGGGCGGGGTGGGGAGCCAGCCTGCCCTGTCCGGGTCCCGGCTCCGTGCGTCAGCCCCGCCCGTCGTCTTGGCAACAGGCGATAGCTCGGCAACCAGGGATTCCCGCCCCGCCCAAGACGAACCGCTCTGGTTGCCCGGGGCAACCCGGCGCCCTGGTTCCCACGTTGGCCTTTCCCACTTCCGGTGCGGGCCCTGGGGGGGGGGGGGGGGTCGGGGAGGAATTGGGTGGGTGGGCGGGGCGATTGAGGGGGCGGGCGGGCGGAGGAAGGTAAGGGGCGGGGTTATGGGGGCGGTGCTGTGGAGGGGCGGGCGGGGCGGGGCCTCCGGGGTCCAGGGGCTCCGTTCGGGAGGGAACTGCGGCCCCCGGCATGAGCGCGCGGCTGGCAGGAGCTGGGCTCCCGGTCGCTCGGAGGACTCAGTGGGTGCTTGGGGGTGGGAGTGGGGGGCCCGGGGCGCTCGGGTGCCTCTGCAGCTGGAACCACAGCGCCCCGACGCCACCATGTTCCCGGAGCCCGCGACCCAAGGGCCCCCAGCGCCCGACGCGCCACCCGACTCCAGCCGCCTCCACCGGGGCGCAGGTGAGACGCCCGAGGCTAGGCGCTCGGCCCCGCGGGGTCCCCGGGAACGACGGGCTGGAAAACCCGGTGGGATCTGGCTGGGATCTTCTTGAGTCGGGAATCGGGATGAAAGGCGAGGAAAAGGATGGAACTGGCGTCCTAGTGAAACCAGGGCTCAAGGGCGGAGCACAGAATGAGGTCTTCTACCTGCGAAGGAGAGGCTCCCCTCCCCCTCCGTTTTACAGATAGGGAAACTGAGTCCCAGGAAGAAGAGGCAGGCTTCTCTTAACCCTAGACATCAACGGATTGAGCAGCAATTACAACGGGATGGGGAAGAAGGGAGAAGTAAAGAGGGAACCCGGATGCTGTGGGCCTGATTGGGGCGTCAGCTAGCTTCGTGGGTGAGGTGGTATGGAAGGACAGCACGAGGAATGGCCGGAGTGGAACATGAGGCCAGGAGTCCCGCGTTTACAGGGAATCCAGCCTGCCTCTGGGGACCTAAATCTGTCTTGTCTCCCCTCTACTTCCCAGTGCCTCCGTGGGTCCTGCCTACCCTCCTGCTAGGCGCTGGCCTCCTGCTCTTCAGTTGCTGTTTCTATCTCTATGTGAAACGCTGTCGGAAGCGGCTGGGCAAGAAAAGCCAGGCCCAAGCCCAAGTCTACCTCCAGGAAGTGAAGGAACTAGGCAGGAGCTACATAGACAAGGTGCGTGGCCCAGCCTAGCTCCTCCACCCTACAGCCTCTATGTCCCTTTTCAGTGCCCCACACATCATAATCCCGTGTCCCTTCCCACCACCGTAGCCACCACACCCATCTCTTCAAACTCTGACTCTGCTTAGACCAAGGAATGGATCTGTGAACTTCCCAGGGCTTATGAGCCTTGAGGATGATTCGGTTATCAGGGGAAGACATCACCTGCTATTGTCCCTGGTCCCTTCAGGTGCAGCCGGAAGTGGAGGACCTGGACCCGGCGCCATCTGGGCGGGAACAGCAGGTGGCAGAGAAGCAGGAGCTAGGACGGCTGCAGTATTCACTGGATTATGACTTCCAGAGTGGCCAGGTGAGTCTGTACTGGTGGGGTGGGGGGTTGGGAGACCCCAGAGGATCACAAATTCTTTCCAGAGGAGGCCCTGGAAATAGGCTAAGAAGGGTCCTCCTTCTGTGGCTTGGCACCTGCAGCTTCTGGTAGGCGTTCTGCAAGCGGAGGGCCTGGCGGCCCTGGACTTGGGGGGCTCCTCTGACCCCTATGTCAGCGTCTACTTGCTGCCAGACAAGCGCCGGAGGCATGAGACCAAGGTGCATCGGCAGACGCTCAACCCGTACTTTGGAGAGACCTTTGCCTTCAAGGTAGTGCAGCGGTGACTGCTTATGCTTCTCAGCCTATGCCAGGCCCCTGACTGGCGGGGGACAGACCCTGCACCCAGGCCCCAGATGGCCAGGACAGACCTGAGTCTGGCCCCAGACCTGCAGCTGGCCCCCGGATGGCCAGGGACACCCCCTTTAGCTTTTCCCTAGAGGCAGCCACAGCTCAGGTGGCAGCTTCCAACTGGGCTTCTAGCACAGAGTTGTCCTTTGGGGGCACTGGTGACCCCTCGGAGCTGGGTGGACTCCCTTTTGGGTTTCATTGACCCTTGGTCCCTATCCCCCATAGATCCTTGTATTTCTTTATTGGGTTCCATTTTCATCTCCCTCAACTTTTTTTCTGGGACCCACCTACCCCCCACTTCCACCTGAATGTATCGTATCCCACTTCCTCTCTGACTTCCTACCCCTTTCCCAAGGTCCCATATGTGGAGCTGGGGGGCAGGGTGCTGGTCATGGCAGTGTATGACTTCGATCGCTTCTCCCGCAATGACGCCATCGGGGAGGTGCGGGTCCCCATGAGCTCCGTGGACTTGGGGCGCCCAGTACAATCCTGGCGGGAGCTGCAGGTGGCTCCAAGAGAGGAGGTGAGCATGCGCGGCCACACCCCCAGCTCTCTCCCCCTGCACCCTGGGCCAATCAGAGCCCAGGCCTCCTGGTGCCTTGACCAATCAATCAGAGTCCAGGCCTCCTGGTGCTCTTCCCTGGCTTCTTTGGGCACCCAGAGTTTGATGTTGGCCTGTGGCAGACCCGACCTTGTGGGCCGGGCGAGAGTGGTGATGGCTTCCATTCCGCCTCACAGCAGGAGAAGCTAGGGGACATTTGCTTCTCTCTCCGCTACGTTCCCACGGCCGGGAAACTCACCGTCATCGTCCTGGAAGCTAAAAACTTGAAGAAGATGGACGTGGGGGGGCTGTCGGGTGAGTGAGTGGTGAGGAACCGGGGGCTCTGGCTTCGGTTCCGCTGCTTTCCGGGGCTCCGAGGGTCTAGGGACAGAGGGGCGGCCACGAGGAGGTGGAGATCCTGTTTGAGCACCTGAGGTACTGTACCTGGAGTGTCCCCAAACCCTAGTGTGTCCTCCCCATCAGACCCTCGCTCCCCAAACTCACAGAGGGGGGGACAGCTCCGAGACCTCTCCGCTCTCTCCCCAGATCCCTACGTCAAGGTGCACCTGCTGCAGGGTGGCAAGAAGGTGCGGAAGAAGAAAACCACCATCAAGAAGAACACGCTGAACCCCTATTACAACGAGGCCTTCAGCTTCGAGGTATCCTGCGACCAAGTCCAGGTGAGCGCAGC